AGAATGTCAAACTTTACAGGTCATACCGGTGAAGGTGGCTGCTGCAAGAAATATGTCGTTCTTTGTTGCCTTTGCGGTGGGCTCAGCGCGGCAGTCGGTAGCCTCTTTTTGGCGGTGCACGCTGTCCTTTCAGCACACACGGCCAGTTTGGCGCTCTTCGAGACCGTACCGTCTTACATTCCTGGCATAATGGTGAGAGACAAAGGTTACACGGCTCTCTATCTATGGAAATTACGTAAGAAGGGATCGAACGGACGTTCGATGATGCATTTCACGGTTTTATTGTCAAAGAAAGAGACCTTCGATTGACCTTCGAGCGAAACCTTTTATCATCCGTATTAAATTCTATCCGTTAATTATAAAAATGTTAGCACGCTTTATCTGCCAAAGAGTAAAGAAAAGAGATTATTTATTGCCTTTTTCGCAGTTGATACTGATGGGACTATTTACGATGCTTCTGGCAAGGCGAAAGCACAGATACGGTCTTTTGGTAAGTATAAAAAGTCAATGTAGGAAATCTAATGCAGATAAGGAAGCGATAAGGAAGGAAGACATTGGGGATGTCGCGTAATTATTGCAGATGAAAGTCTGCGGCTCGGTTGGCGTTGTGTGCGCCCTGGTCTGCGTTCTCGTGACGGTCACTACGACGGTGATTCACATGTCCCGATTGCAAGGTCTTCGAGAATGCGTTTATACGGAAAGAGCCAGGTAATAAGGAAAGAGCCATTATGATATGACGTATCGTAGAATCATTGTACGAGTCGAACGTTCGAACACATTCATACGTGAGATAAAATTGTTCTTAGATCGTGCACGTGTTACGGTGCACCGCAATCGAAGGGAGATCCCGGTGTACTGTTCGAGGGTACTCCGCATTGCGAAGCCGTTCACGGCGCCCTTTACGCTTGCCTAAGAGCCCTTTTTGGTGTCTCGGTAGCTGGGATACTTGCCTGCATATTCTCCTGCATGTTGGTTTATCAGTTATTGAGTCACGAAAAGAAAAAGATGTATTGGGAACAGCTGGAGCTCAGATGCAGATCGTTGTACGGTCAAGGCGGGCCGGTCGGCCCACCGACCGCTTCCTGCGGATGTTGCAACGATTGCGGCGGGGCCAGTCCGTGGTGGGCCCAAACGCCAGGAAATCTCTACACGCCGAATCCGGACTTGGCGCCTTCGAGGTAACGTCCCTAAACAGATTCGCGCAGTAGGGACTTTCTACTTTTGATTTTGTACGGACGCAACCGACTACTTTTTCGTACCTATCACCACCGGTTCGGGCTTCTCTCCGGTTGGCAAATTCCACGAATATCGTGAAAGGAGAGTGAGATAAACTCCTAAACGAGACGTCGGTCCCGTCGAGAGCTTCGGGTAAACCGCTAATGTATGGAATCGATTAAAGTCGGCATTCCGTTTGGTATTTCTTCGTTCTACGGAAATAAATTACGAACGACGATAAACGCGTTTGGCTACGGGGAGGCCTCGCGATAATAAAAACGTACAACGTTAGAGACGCCGCGTGATACGATCTACGAGTCGTCGGTGATTTTTGTACGGACCTACCGTGACGCGCGTCCCGCTTTTTGCCATTCTCATCTCATGTCTCGCGTCCCATCTAACGTCCAACGAGACAACTCAGAACTGATGCATCGTCTTATTTCAGACGATGGCGATTACCGTGGTCTAGATCGAGAGGACCAGCCCCGAGTCCCGACTCGAATTACGGCTTCCACACGCAAACGAGACAGGCCGAGACTAACGCCGACAACGCGGCTGGCCCTTATAGCGTCCTAAATTCACAGTCGAGCGGTCCTTATTCCGTTCTTAATACACCCAATGGACCTTATACGACGAGTACAGCGTCCTACAGCGTTTTGGAGACACCGGTTCCTCTCTGGGGCCCGCCGCCGCCTTACAGCGATCCAAACAGTCCAGCTCGTCGGCCGCAAGTCACGGATGCGAGGCCGAGGATGAGCAAGAGAATCGACAATTTTGACAACAACGAAGGTTAGACACCAACGAAAGCTTCTCAACCTTATCCGGGACGATAATTCTTAATCGTAATATCGTTCCCTTGCAGATCACAGATCGAGATCGACGAAACGTCCCTCGGACAATTACGAGAACGCCGAAGAGATATCGAATAGTACCGATCCCGAGGGCGGAAACGACGGGACTATGAAGGGTAGGAGAGCTAGGAAACCCCTGAAAGGTGTCGAGAATGGAGCTTTTCAACAGGAACCCAATCCCGCTGCGAAACAATCCGAAAGTGAATTGTATTTCGGCGATGTTTCCTCTTGTTGCGGCCCGGAGAGTAGCTTCTATGATCTGGCTGTTGAGAAAGAAGGTAAAATTTCTTTTGGACAGATATTCGTTTTTTTTCTTTTTCTTTTCTTTTTTTTCTTTTTTTTTCGTTTTCTTCATGTAAATTTCATCCAGTAAGATGATCGATAACCGATCATTTTCGGCGATCGATTGGTTTCAGGGACCGAACATTCGGAAGGGGTGGATTATTTGGCAGCTCGTTTGGGCAAGCGACAGCTGTCAAAACGATCGAGACTTCCTCTTCCGTTGCCCTCGGACGGTGGCGACATACCGTCCGATAGTTATGCCAATAGCGACGAGCCTAGAAACGTTAGGGGCCCCTTTTTGGCACCCGATGCTCAATACGAGGTCATTCAGCAAGCTCGTTATTCGTATTACGCGCCGAAAGAAGACGAAGAGCTTGAGGAAGAGGCTGCCACGTCGAGTTATTTCAGAGAAGAGGAGACTGATCGTCCAAGGGACAGGGATTACAGGGACTATCACAGCGGTCAGGAAGAGGAGGCACCTCAGTGTTGTTTGAGCGATTCCACGACCTTGGATTCTGGCTGGCAAAGTGCCGAGCAACAACAATCGGACGATAACGTTCGACCGGTTAACGTGTAATCGGTTTCCCTTTCTTTTTTCTTTTCTTTGTTTTTTATTTTTTTTTTTTCTTTTCTTTTTTTTCGGAAGGAGAGAATCGGAGGATGGAGGTGGAGGAATCGCGTATTTAAGAACGATTTGGATCAGTTGAGAAGATCGAACGCGAGCAAACTTTCGTCGATCTTTTTCGTTCGTATCCTCGATCTTCGACGATGGAGACTGAAACGACGTTGCCATATATAAAATTATTCTTTAATGCCAAGGTGCGCGCTATTTAATGTATTCATTTTCGATGGAAGACGAGATCAGTCTAGTTAGAGGAAATAGTAAATAACGTAGAGAGATGTAGGATAATTAATAGTGAACTCAACGATGTCGCTCATGGTTGCTCGTAGTAATCGTTACTATTATTTAAGTATATCGTAAGAAGGAAAGTTACACCTTTATTTTCTAAACGAACATTGTAATAAAAACCAACGAACGAAAGAGGCTTGTCCGATGTACTAACGAATGCCACACGTAGACGCAACTGTGACTTTAATTAGGTAATTGTCGCGAATATGTTATTGGTGTGTGGTCTCCGTCTGTGTGAGTGCGCGTTTGTGCGTCGCTCATTGGACCCTTCGACGATCCTCGTCGTCGTTCATCCGATATATCGCTAAAGGAAACGTCCATGTACAAAAGTGTGCTTTACTCTTGCCATTATCTCGTTAGATGTTTTAGTCTTAATTAATCCGAGCGCTTATTAATTGTTCTCGATAAAGTCGTTATCGAACGACTCTTACCGTTACTTACGATTAGTAGTCAAATATTTTGTTTCAATGAACGCGTGCGCACTCGTTTAAAAAAAGTTCTCTCGCGCTTTAAGAACTCGACGTTGACGCGCTACGTCGCTCAACAATCGTTACTTTCATTCGATTTCGTTCGACTTACCAAGCTTTTAAAGATATATACATCTTTCGGTGCGTAAGCAAGTACCTACGTAATAAACACATACGTACTGTACACAATTCAGGTGGACCAAGGATAACGATCGCGTTTAAGAATAGGTAGAAATATTATCGATCATCTATTTCCCGTTGTCGATCGTCAAGAAGTTAAACTCATAAATGGCATAATTTTATATCGCAAGGAATAGATGAGAAAGAGAGAACTAGACGCGCAGGTAGATAGACAATGAAAAAGGTTGGATAGTTGAAAAAATAGTTTAACGTTGTTTACTCGATGAAGTGTACCTTAAGAAAGAGAAAGGAAGAACGTAGATAACAGAAAACCCAATGCGCCGTGAAACAATGTAATTAACGATTACAGAGAATAAAGCTTTGTTTTGTAAGAAAAAGGAGAAGAGAGAGAGAGAGAGAGAGAAAATCGAATAGAATGGAAGTTCGATGAAAGCACGTAGGAAAAGTATATCGAAAGAGGAATGCCGGGATCCAAGTTAGAGCTGCCATTATTCGCAATTGTCTTTTTCTTTACTTTGAACTCTAGCGCCTCTAGCATTGGCCAATATCAGATTATAAGATTTCGCAACGGGGCCTCGCGAGAGTCGAACTGTCGCAATGCATTGGATTACGGCAAGAAGGAGGCAAGCTGGCACGTTACCGTTCAAAATCGATCGTACGATCGCGATTGCAGACTCGCTGGTAAAAACGCTAAAAGATCGTTTCGTGAACGTAACTGTTGTAGACAATTGTAATTTGTACGCATAGACGATTCCCGATTCAAATTTAAAAACCATCGAGAAAGATTTACAAAGGAGATTCCTCGATTATCAGGAATCAGAGCAGACCAATATCACGGTTAAAACCGAGGCCTTGATAAATACAATATATCGCGCAGGCAGTGGCGCGGGATCGCACGGTTACAATAATTATTAATATAAGCATCGTAGACGCGAGATTGCACGTTTAAAAGTTTCATTAAAGCGAAGCGCGGAACGCTTAATTAACGAGATCGCAGCCCGCTGATAAAGTAATCCCGAGGAGTTGTTCGGCATTGGTACGTGGAGAAGACGTTAGAAGCTCGTTCTTTTAGAGCGTACGCTCGTTACAAATAATTACCGTCGTTTAACCGTACACGAGTCTGCCGAGACGTGCCGGCGGCGGCGGCGGCGGCGGCGGCGGCGGCGGCGGCGGCGGCTTTACTTCGTTCCGTTACCAGACACCGATTACGTAAGTATAACTAGCTTAGAGAATATTTTTAGTCGTCTACTTCGGGGACAAGTAATTAGCCGATTTATCCTTACGATAACGATATATACATATATTGTATATGTATCGTATATATGGTGTATACCCTGTTATAACAACCTATCTACTTATATTTTAAGGAGAATAATCGTAATACTTTGAGATCGCGGTGAACGAATCAAGTCTCTTTTGCATCTTCCTCTTCGTATTAATTACGTACAAGATCCCTCGACGATTCTGAGAGCTGCTTGATTCGCTAAGAATCTTTCGACCCTTTCACGAAACTCTCTGCTAGATTCGGGTAAGGGAAGTGCAGGATTCGGTGCAGCGCTTTGAACGGAGCTCATAGAATTGATATTTAACGCGCTATCGGATAATCCATGATCGTGATCCAATATATCCGGTCTCGGTGGTGGTGGATGCTTTCTCTTGTGTCCTGCAGAAGCGACCCTCTTCGAATCGTTGTCGTTAACGACGTTGTTGTTACCGTAATCGATGTCCGGAAATCGATTCATCATACCACGTAGAGCTATCTTCGCACTGAGAAGGGACCAAAATACTTCCAAAAGAGAAGCAACGAGTACGTTCACCTTAAGTAGCGTTTCCGTCTGCGAGGATTCGCCGATCCGATCTTTTCGCCAAAAGGATAAAACTTTGTCTCTGTCAAGGGGTACTTCTTTGCTCTTATTTTCCGATTCCTTTTCCAGTTCGTTACCCGAGATTGGCATGGTTCTTTCGTACAATATAGAACTTTCTCCCTTGAGATCGTCGTAGGCAAGTCCCCTGTCGCTTTCGTTAACGTATTTCTCTACTTTCATCGTGGTCTCCTCGACGAGAGCGGTGACGTTGTTATTATTATCGATAACGAAAGGATCGCTCGAACTACGAAGAATCTTTTCCATAGGCCAGAGAGATCCATTATTGGTCTCTGCAACAGCAGCGATATCGAGGATGGTCACGACGAGGCAAAGGATGGCCGCCAGCAACGAGAAGAGATTTGCAGAAAAGAAAATGGTTATATTTCGATCGATGTACCACCTTCTCCAGGCTAAGAGTCCCGCGACGAACGGTACCAAACAGGCTATCGATAATATCGCTCCCTGAACGGAGAGCGCCAGGGTGCCTAGAAGTAGGGAAAGGGCGCCTAAGCCAAAATGTACCAGGGCAAGGCCACCGACGGTCGAAGCCGAATAACGTCGTTCCGACGGGTACAACGACGAGAGAGCCGGCTTCGTCTTCACTTTTATCACGTAAACGTTTTCCATTGTTTTTCGCCTTTGAATGCGTCAGATGCGTCTTGGTTGGGTCGATTATGCACTCCGCACATGACGCGCGTCACAAGCGAAGCTCGAGCGAGCCGAGGGTCTTTGCCTGCTCGATCGGGCTCATTCTGAACGCAGAAGGATACGCTTTTAAATTCGATCGCGGATAAAAGAAATATACTCTCTTCGCTTTCTATCGCGAATTTGCAATCTCTAGCAACGTAGAAAGATATTCTATTCGTTTAGACAACCAATCAGACGAGGATCTCACAGAGGCGTAACAATTTCTTAATCCTCCTTGCCTCCATTCTTTTCCCTTAATTAACGTTATGCAAGTGCGACCGATTGTGAAGCGACGCGATTATTCTTCGAGTCTTTTTTGTTCAGACGTCGCTTCCGTTTCACAGTCGTTCTCCTTCGAGAACGGATATTCCGTAAAATATTTTATTATCGTTGTTACGTTGCGCGCGGTGCAAGCGCGATCAACTCTCTCTCTCTCTCTCTCTCTCTCTCTCTCTCTCTCTCTCTCTCTACCTCTACCTCTCTCTCTCTCTACCTTCCCCCTCTCTCGCGAATTCGTTAAAGATCTTTTAAGCGTTTCACGTATATGACACGATCGGTCATTCGAGCCGAAGAAATTTATCAAGATAATTCGCCGATCGTAACGTAAAAGAGATCTTTCACGGTAGACGTTTGAATGGTAACTGAGAGATAGGAGTAAAGTACTAGTCTCGGTTGAAATTGCTACAAACTTCTCTACGTACCTCCCACGCGAGCGACTTGCAGTGAAAGGGACAACAGAGACCGACGGATAGATATACTCGTATCCTCCAGTGTTACGTTAAGCTCGCTTCACACAGATCGTTACTTTCGTGCAGTTTCACGATAGAAAATAGAAGAAATATAAAAATATTGCGAATCACCGACGATATCTTTTCCTTTTCAATTACTTTATATCATCGATAATCTTCTGAAAGAGAGAAAAATTTAGTCGGTCGTTAGGTGTTACGCAAATGCGCACGACTTTAGTGTGGATATTACGTTAGAATCAAAGATAACTTTCAGAGAGGAAATATATCCCCATGGTCCTCGGGGAGAGGATAGCTCGTACTAGCTCGTGCTAACCTTTATTGTTGCTCGTTTAAACGTGTAAACCTTAACTCTCGACCTTTTCGCTCGTACATCGTTTATAGAAATAATACGCAAACTATAGATGACCATCGTATTCTCCGCGGATTCTCCGCTCGGTCAATCATTCGGAAAGGTCTATCATTCGTTCGACGAAATGGCACGGTTGTGTGTGCCGAGGCACGCGTGGGACGACAATGTTTGACGCCAATAGGCTTCTTGCATATTATCTCGAAAATTGATATTTTTCTTTATTTACCGTGACAATCGTTATTCTAATAAGGATTTTGACATAGTCAACAGATGGATAATCGATAGCGATTAACCATCGTTTGCCCGTAATTAACGTTAGCCGAGAAAGTTGGCCTAAATCGACAGACCGCAAGACTTCCATGCAACTTTGTTGTTATTATATCTGGATTTTGCGATGGAACGAGAGGAGTAAAAGGAAAAAGGAGAAAGAAACTTTCTCGATAACGCGGTATGAAAGAAAACTCGACCGAGCGGAGCCGAAGGAGAACGGCTTGCACTTTCCATCAAAAAAACAAATTCTGATCGATCGCGGAATCGCGATTATCGCGATCGGCGACAACGATCTCGTTAAAGGCGTCGTCGCATCGAAACTCGTTCTTACGTAAAACCGAGATAAATAGCACCGCCTTAGAACGCTCACCAAAGCAAGAACGATCGATCGACTCCACTAGCGGTGTATGATTTAAAAAGAAACGTCGTCGTCGATCGAAAACGAAAAATCTTTCGCTTATACGCTAGTTCTTTTTCGTTCGCAATTGATCTCAATTTCGATCGTTTTTCCCATCGCTTTCACTCGACCAGTTTAAACGATGTGCCATGTCGGGAAAGTTTGCAAAAAAAAAGGCGAGTTTCCGACTAGATACTACTTGAAAAAGGAAATGGAGAAGATACTTTCCTTCTTCTTACTTGCTATCGAGATCGAGCGAAATAATGGAAAAAAAATACCGACGCTTTCCGTTTGTTCCCTGACTTTTCGGCCGTTAACGCTGACGCTTCAACGACTTTCTCTCTCTCTCTCTCTCTCTCTCTCTCTCTCTCTCTCTCTCTTAGTATACGCGGAAGGGAGAGAAAGAGGGAACGATAAAGAGCTTGTTTGTGACCGAAATGCATTCGTATTGGAGCAGCTGTTGCGATTGGGGCACGCGTCCCAACGGTCGCGGCAGCTGTCCACAAATCGAACACGGTACATTCCACGCGAGTTCCTCTATCTATAACAGACCGTTGATACTCGAAATACAAGAGAGCGACAAAGTTCGCGTTGAAATACCCTACGTGGCTTAAAGTGGCCCTTGAATATCGCGATAAAGAGATGAGATAGTATACTCGAAGATTTAACCAAAAATAATAATAAACTATTATGAATAATCAAAGAATAATTTTATGTTTATCCTTTATTTTTATCTTTTAGTTAGAAAACCAATAGAGATAGCGTCGAACGAGTCGAGAGAAAAAATATGCTGGTAGAAATTCATAATCGACGTATCGAAGGATTATTTAAAGGGTGAGACATTTAAATTTTAAAGAGTCCGCAAAATGCCGAGCGAATGCCTACGTGAAAATTCCTCGATGCGCATAAACTCGGTAAGGGCTCGTAAAAGATCGATAAGGGTACGCAACGGAAGGGAAGGAAATAAGAGAAGAAGGGGAGCGTACCATATAGGAGAACGCGATGGGGCCCTTCTTCGCGAAGGGACACCGGACCCGTAGTACGGACGCGACAACCCCTCTACGTTCTGTGCGCACGCAAACACGGAGGAAAATAAGGCGCGCCGAGAGACCGCCCTTCGCGCATCTGCTCTTAAGGGAATCCGCGTCCGGCAGTTTATCGAAGGCAACGCTCGAGCACGGATCGGACGTCGAAGTAGAAAACGAAGGAAAAAAATTTTTATTTTTATAACCTGTAATCATAGGGACCTTTTAGTGAATCATAGCGATCTTGTAAAATGTGTAAAAAAGAATGTTTGACCGTGGAAGTGAAAATCTCGCCGATTCGAAGCGTGAATTTTTCCTTGGAAACTTGGAGATCGCCCTCTTATGTGAGCACGGTTCTTCTGATACTCATTAACCGATCCTGAAGAATTCTATCCTGTGTGTAGTTTAGTAAACAACAAAGATATATTTCGAGAACTTTTCAAAGGAGAAATAGAGAAGATAGTAAGAAGAAGAATAAAAGCGTAAAAAAAGAACGAAAGGGAGAGAAACGGAGAAATAACGATGGCACAAACGTCCGAACCGGCACCCGTGCATTGCTATACGAATCCATCGTTTTGTCGTCAATCCGAATACATCCCGGACGACAGAGAGAACCTACCACCTCCGCCACAATTTCAAAGTACCGACGAATTACCACCGCCGCCGCCGCCTTTGCAAATGCATTTACAGTGCGGCCAAAGCAATCCCGCGTTTCAGGCTAATGCCGAAATACGAATCGAGAGGCAAATCGAGACGCGAGAGGCCAGAGAGCACAGGCGATATTGTTATTTGAATGAGAATAGAGATCCGGCGCACAAGAGATATGCAAGTTTGCCGATCGAAGATCGTAACGTAATCGGGTATGGACAATCCTCGAGGTACGAGTACATTCAGGAGGAGCAAAGGGGTCACGTGCAGAGAAGGCCTTCCATTAGGTACGAATTCATTCCGCGCCAGCAGGTGCAACGGCAACGTTCCGCGCCGCCGCTCAACCAAGACGATGGACGACGGGGCCTGCCACGGATACAGACAAACCAGAACAATGGCGGAAGATACGCGATCGTACCGGGTGAACTCGATTATCCGGACGACGACGACGACGACGACGACGACGACGACGACGACGACGACGACGACGACGACAACAATGACAACAACGACAACAACGACGTCACGAGAAGTGCTTCGATCGGTAGACGAATTTCACCGGTACGACGCGGTAGCGTAAACACGCTTCAGGGTAAAGCAATTTTTATTATCAATTCGATCGAAAAACGAACATTTTATTTGAGATTATCTTATTGTTAGGTCGTTACGCGAGAGTACCTCTGCAAGACGAAGATCCTCCGGCCCTACCGGAAAGGAATTTTCAACAGGAATACCCGACGTCGCCGAGGAATAATCTGGCGACGAAAAGACTTCATGAGATATTGACGACTCCACGGAAGCCAAGGTCTAGATCGGAGGAACGAACCCTATCGCCTAAGAGGCAACAGAGCGTGAATCAAACCGGTACGCCACAAAGGAGAGCTCTCACCCCAGTTGGATCACCAAGCGGTACGCGCCATTTCCTTCTATTATTTTTCATACGACCGTCTTCAGTGGTCTTCAGTGGTCTTCAGTAAGTAATGATAACCCGTTCTTTTCTGTTTTCTCTCTCTCTCTCTCTCTCTCTCTCTTTCTCTCTCTCATAGGTCGTACCTTTAGCCCGACCACTCGTACGACTCCCCAAGGAACTCCGCAGAATCGAGCGTTTCCAACGAATGGCCCTCAAACCTCGACACCGAACAAAGAACCTTCGGCAAGGAGGTGTTTACCCCTCGTTGAAAACTCATCCCGACAACGGGACGTATGTCCAGCCAGTAATTGCGGCAAACTTCGTTACGTTGGTACGGCTCCGGTCGATCTTGCGTCGATGGTTTACGGAGAGCCACCGCCTCGTTATGGATATCTCGAAAACGGTCCGGAATCTATGCCAATGGTATCCGGTTCTCCGAGGTATCAAGTACTTCCGGCCGATCAAAAGAGGAGCGGCTATCAGAGCGTGGAGAGCGCGTTTATCGCGAGGACCGCCGTAGTAAGTAACGTCGAAAGACTTGGAAATCTTGTCTCGAGAAAAAAAGAGAGAAAATCTTTCTTCCTTTACCTCAGGTACCACCGTTATCTCCGCCGCATAGCGAGGTTAACACGACACTGGTAAGCGCATTGGAGAAAAATGATCGTAGAAATGCCCCGCTCTTGCTCGTATTGGTAGGCGTTTTAACCTGCGGTCTTGCTATTTACCTATCTTGGACGCAAGGAAGAAGGTAAGAGAGACAAGTAGTTAAGCGCGCCAAAGTGAAGATAATAAAGTCTCCATTTTTAGATATTACTTCGACAGTGCCGTCGGTTGCGGTGCCTGTTGCGCTCTAGCAGGAGCTTGCAGAAGTTTAAGAAGAACCTGGACAGGGCTGGGTCTCGCGGGACTCTCGGCACTGAGCTGCGCCGGACTCTTGTTACTCGCTGCGAAATCGCCCAGACCAGGAACTCCTCTTCACGACGTCACAGCCGGTGCTTTGTGCGGAGTTTCACTTTTAGGTGCCAGCCTCGCGCTCCTTGCCGTGTTAACGCCAAAGTGTAACTTGGGTAGACACAGAAGAGTGCACTCTTGGATCCCTCGGCTGTCATCTTGAGTCATTTAACAAATTTTCATGGACTCTCGTCAATATATTGAATTGGATTCGTTCAAGGCAGACGGCATATTCATTTTCGGATCGTCGTTGCGATTAGAAATAACACAACGTATCTTAATCCAGCCGACATGCATGGAGTATACGTTGGAAAGTATTTTCGTATTTACGAGCGACAACGGTTAAATCGTTTACTCTTAAGCAGCGATACGTCAAAAGTTCATTGAAGAAGCCAAAATCGATTTCACGATGTGCGGTGTACGTGCGCGCGAAAAGTAGGTATAAGAAGACTCGTATCATCCAATTCCTATGACCCAAGTGGCCTTGTACTTTTCGTAGATTGTAAGAACCGACAGTCTAATAAAATTTCTACGTTCGTCACCAAGAATATTATTTATTTCCGAACAGATGTAAAGTACCTTATCGTGGATTCGATCTTTATAGTCGAGTTTTTATAGTGATCGAATTTTTATAATCGATTCGCTCGACCTACGTATCGAAGCGATCCGAGATCTGGCCAATTTCAATCGTGGTATTTCTCATCGTCCTTCTCATTGCATTTAATCTTTATCGATGGCACGGATTTCTCTTTATTCCATTTAATATTATCCAACATTAATGTCTATATTTTTTCCTTTATTCTCTCGTCGATCTCAGACGTCGTACTCAGTACATTTTGAGAACGTACGAAGGCGCAAAAATTCCAAGAGAGCGGTTTCGTCGGAAAGACATTTTTCGTTGTATCAACGTGTCATGACGGATGACGTTTCGCGAGTGATTGAAACCACCGAAAATTATGATCCGCTTATGCCGATGAAAGATAAGGACTTTGAGGATTAGGTGAAAAAGTCGGATCTATTGGGCAAGCAATACGAGCTATTTTTAAACTTCACTCGTTTGGAGTAGAGAGAACGTATGGTTGACGATGCATACGTGTAAATAGGATATCGAAAATAATTTAGAGGCAAATGAATTCAGTTAGCTACACACCGATGAAAACCCGTTGAATTTCTTAGATGACGAAACTCGAGTGGTGTTGAAGAAACTCCCGGATGGCCCTTTCTCCGATTACATCAACGCCAATTACATCAAGGTGAGAGAATATGACTTCGCTAGGAGCGTCCTCGTTCGTTAGAAACTCATCTTTTAATGATCCAACGTTGCTTGCTTTCAAATTATATGAGAAAATGGTTACCAAAAGGAGAAACGTTAGATAACGACTCAAGGATCAAAGGCACGATTATCGATTTCTGGCGCATGGTCCGACAAGAGGAGTGATCCTCGGAGGAATGATCCTCGTTATTTCCATGCTCACCAATGTCGTCGGAAAATAATTGCATCCGTGCATATAAAAGTTTTTCTTTTGAAAGATATGTCGCGTTAAGCTTTCGTCGCCTTTCGCGACAGAACAAATGCGAAAAAATATCGGTGCGGACATCGGTAAGAAGAAGAAATACGGTGACGTAACGGTCCTTAACGCCAAGCATAACGTGTTCGCCGACTACACCTTTAGAATCTTCCACGTAACGTGCGATGAGGAAATTCCCAAGGTAAATCGAAGCTCGAACACGGAGATGAGATAAAATGCGTGAACTTTCCAACGAAGAATCCAACTATATTTCTACATAAGAGTCGGGTCGTTTAAATCGTGCTTTGAAAACTAGGTCGAACATTTGCATTATACGGCATGGCCCGATCACGGAGTACACCGATGTACACGCACTCCGTCGTCATCTATTTGAAAAAAAAATCTTTTGGCAACGCAAATTGGAAACGGACCCATGGTCGTTCACTGTAGCGCCAGATTGTAAGTAGAACCAGGATCATTATTTTATGCGACATTTGTCTGAGACGTCCAACGGTCGAAAGGGATAAGCGAGAGGAAAAGACGAAGTCGCGAACGAATAAATTTCATGACGTTCAGAAAGAAACGGGCCAACATGGTGAACAATAAGCAACAATATTTGTTCGTTCACTTGATCCTAATGAAGGAATTAAAGAAACAATTGGGAATATTATGGCGAAGGTAATACATACGTAATACGTACGTATTATAGTAGCAATCTAAATATGTTTACATACAGAGATAATAAAATTATCTCTGCTTTTCGAAGAAACTGCCTCGAAGAAAGCGAAGCCCTTCGGCCACCGATTTTGCAAACGTCCTTGTCGCGTTCTAACCTAGGCCAAGAATAGATATCCAGAATTAGTATCAAGTTCGATCACTTTGGACCGGTATTCCGAAAAGTCTTAAACTCGGTCTAGGCGCATATACTTTCTAACGTCCTATTATCGTTTATTCGTATTTAGAAAAAATCAGCAATATATTCTTCAAAAGATATCCGGCGTAGGATGATAAGAGCGATTATGAGAGCCGCTTATTTTATGTCAACGGATATAAAAAATCAATACCTGAGGATACCTTCGATCCCGATGATCCCGTTAATAGTAAATCGAGTATCATTAAGAATATGATCAAGCATGTCGCGTGAACTCTATAATACTTTTGCAGAGCTTTTGTTCTCTCATTCAACGACGAGTTTAAACCGCCTCCTTATGTAATAACGTAATTACGAAGAAACACGTAGAAACGGAATATTACTTGTCTCATAAATTGACGTTTATCGATAACTCGGAGATAATCGATCGATGGAGACGAGATCGATGTATATTCGATTTCCATGTTTTTTAGAAACTTACGACGATATACCCGACTACGATATTAACTCGTACGCTAATGGGAGAAATAAGGATCCTCTCCATAGGAAATCGTGTTAAGTAAACTTTCCGGCAAGCTGGTAGGTCGTACAACTAGGGCCGATAGTTCGGCGGTCGTTCTTTGCCAGTACGATTCTTTCGACTTTCCTCATAATTTGTTGTCAAAACAAAGGTATATACATACGTATGTATATATATATATATATATATGTAGGTAAATATCTTTTTTTTAGCGACGGCTTAACCAGCTGTGGTATTTATTTGGCACTGAGTTCTCTCCTAGAAAGAATGACTATCGAGGGGGAATGCGATGTTCGCTTGGTCATTCGAGCGATAAAACGATCCAGACTGGATTTCGTTCGATCTGTCGTAAGCACATCTTCCTAAAAACCGATGGAAATGTTTTAAAAAGGCGATTACGAAAAGACATATATTCGTGCAACGCGGCCTTAATATTTATGGATTATTTCGAAAGCAGTACTAATTTTTCTTAAGATTAAAATCAACAAGTGAAATTACACGTATTTGATAATAAAATGAATAAAGATGGTAACACGCAATAAGCTCATATTCGATTCCGATTATCGCTCTACGTGGTTATTGAACGAAAGAAAAGAAAAGAAAAGAAAAAAGAAGATAGAAAGAGATGGTAAACGGCCTACCCTACCTTCCGCGGCCCGACTCGAGCTTCTCAATTTCCCCGAGAGAGAGCGCCTCGATCGAGGCGAGTACGATAAACCGTAATTTCTTTGGAAAAAGACAGGCGTGTAAAGTCCGACGTTCCGTAAACGCTTGCTGCTCGATCTCTTAACGCGCATCTCGTGCATCACGATTGGGCTCGCGATTGGCATTTTTCCGTGGTACAGTCTTTTGCCAAGGACATTGTCCTCGTCTTTGACGTCGTCGTTGTCGTTGTTGCCGTAGTCGTTGTCGCGAGAAAAAAGAAATCCTTTTTGCTTCTTTTCGTAAAAGAAATTCAAGGTCGTCGTAAAGGCCATCAGAAGAAGCCAGTGAAGGAACGTGTAATATACAAAATAGCAACAAGTAAGTTGTATTCTTTTGTTTGTACGTTAGCGTTGCGATGCGCTCGCACATCGTCGCGCGAACGAACGAACGAACGAACGAACGAACGAATGAACGAACGAACGAACGAACGAACGAACGAACGAACAAACGGACGAACGGCTCCTTTCGAACGAAGAGGGACTTGCCAGACGTGAGAGAAAATTCGTCTCGACATTGTCTCGCGTAGCGAGAGGGCCATCCCTATTTCCTTCGAATCGATTTATAAGCGTTCAAAGAAAAATTTGACACGCGTGTGTCACGGTTCGTTTCAAGGCCACACGGAGACATATTGGCCGCGTGAACTCCGCGATACAGGTTGGACGCACGACGATTTCCTCTATCAGAGAGCGGACTGACGAAAAGCTTCTTTTCGAACGTATACATTCCTATGTTCACGGGATCGTAAAATCGATAGCTTCGAAACGGAAAAGAAATGAGCCTGCAAACGTTCGATTATGTGCCTGGGGCATGTCGCGCGAGACCGCTTGTTGTTCCCTTTTCCGTTATATAAGAAGCACGCTTCACGAATGTGCCATAATCGGCCATCTTGATTGACGTCATACATGGCGCGCAATTTAATCGTACGTTCGAACGTAAATCCCACTAAATCGTTGAGCGAACTCTTTCCGATCGAACGTATCCAGCATTTACGTCTACTTTATCGAAAAGTTCTCATTTCATAACGACGCACTTCGCGTACGTCAACCTTCTTAACGAGGATGTCGTCAGCTTTCCATTCTCAATTCATCCGCGTGTTTTAGCACACGTGTTTTCCTTTTTTTGCGATTGAAAGGAAACGATTAATTGTACATGCCTCATAAATCTGTATCTTCGGAACGAATCGTGCCGGGATAATCACTTGTCATTGTCTCGCAACGCTTACGTTAATTTAACGTAAGATTATTTTCCCGCGCAGGAAGATAAGGGAGAGGTGGATAGACCGCCGTCGTAGAAACTTTGTCGGAACGCGTTTTAAAGTACAATTTTGTTCATCGATTTCGCGAGCAGAGAGAGAGAGAGAGAGAGAGAGAGAGAGAGAGAGAGAGAGAGAGAGAGAGAGATCCTATTTCCTTTACGCACAACGTAGCGGACAACGTTAAACAATTGCGCGTAACTACGTCAATCGATCCGACCGTGGCCTAAGTTGACAGCAATTTATAAAATCGCTTCTCCTCGGCGGATACGCAGAAGAAACGAACGGATTAGAGATTTTCTCGCAAAGCGCGCGATCATTCTGGATTATCTTGAATTTCTCAGGCGCGCTGTTACCGCGCGTAACGCGATATCCTTTCATTTTCCTTCTTTCCCTTCATTTATTATGAAAGGAAACGATTAAGCAGGAGTCTTTTTCTTTTTTTATTTTTTTTATTTTTTTTATTTTTTTTATTTTTTTTTTTTTTTGTTACGTATATATAATATACGGTCGAGATGGAGGTTCTTGTTACGAAAAATGAAGACACAGGGTCTTTTCAGGGGGAAAAAGAAAAGAAATATGTCGAATGCCTCGGCGGCAAGGAGTAGCAAGGAGAGCAGGACGGAATCGGTAGCGAGAAGATGGACGCCTAAGCCCGTTCTAGATCCGGATATAACGAAAGATCTTCCCTTGATCGACGCTTACGTGGGCATACTGAAGGAAAAGAAGGACATATCTAAGGCGATTAAAGCTATATCGATCATTTTGCCGGGTTTCGATCATTTGAAACGTTGCTCGTCCAATAAGATCCTTCTGGCACCCGTGAAATCTTTCGACATAAACGACGACGTGCCGATCCAGGACCAAAGACTAAAGATTTTCCTCAAGGAGAAAGCTTTCGATCTTGCTCTTTTAGAGGACGATTTACGTGTCATCAAAGTTCCAGAAAGGAGCGCTAAGTCAAAAGCGCAGGCGGCACGGGCTTCGAAGATTTGGCCGTTAAAGTTTCATCCCGATCCTATGCTCGAAAAAATCATCGACGGATCGATTTTCAACGAGGATCAACTACGAGGAATCGAGGAGTGCATGAGGATCGTCATAACAGCGGCAAAATTAGAGGCTATCGGGGATTCCAGTTGCAACGGTAGCGCCGTCATCGTCGATCCCGACGACGGCGGTAGAATCCTTGCGATCGCTGCCGCCAAAATGGACCGACACCCGATGTGGCACGCGTCGATGTTGGCCGTCGACCTGGTCGCTAAACTACACGGCGGGGGTGCTTGGAATTTGTACGAGGAGGAGGAATCTATTGGGCCGTATCGAGCCGTCGACGGGAACTTTGAAAAAAGAATGAAAACTATTAAAAGAAAATACGAGGAGGTGGCACCGCTTTGTTATCCAAGAACGTTGTCCAATATAGAAATTCCTTCAGTGGGATGCCTCCAAGTTAAATGGAAATTACAAGGTCGGCGGAATAACGGTCCTAAAAAAGCTGACGCCATCGCGGAGCCGAGTACAGGCGAGAAATGTGGACCGTACTTGTGTACCGGCTATTGGGTTTTCTTGCTGAAGGAACCGTGTCCAATGTGCGCCATGGCTCTCCTTCATTCGAGAGCAGCGAAAATATTTTACGGCGTATCGAACGAGAGAACCGGTGTCCTAGGATCCAATGGGATTTTGCACGCGGTCCCGGGACTTAATCATCGATATCGCGTTTGGAGTGGAGTATTGGAAGGGACCTGCGAGGAGGCGTCGAACGAAATTCAACGGAAGACCGTCGACTCCGTCGATTGAGACGGCATTTTATTAGTCTTCGATTTCGAGTGTAGACTGGGTCGCGATGTCGGGGATAAGACGAATACGATCTTATCGCCTATTTTCACGATTACGATCATTACGACCATACGATTAGCGAGAGCAAATGGAAGGGCTTAGAAAAAAGACACGTGATCAGTGTCTCGGATTAAGAGCAATAATATAGCCGACCTTGGTACATCGGTATACTTTCCAACGATGTCTCCAAGTCCGCAGCATCTGCTCCTATTTCCTTATTCGTACGAGCGTCATTCGCATACATGCTACGTATCGCGTTAACACTCGCGCGCTACCCTCGCCTCGCCTCGCCTCGCCTCGGCGTACAACGATGCTTTGTATTTCCACGATCGTAGAAATTCTCCTTCTCCTTTGTCTTTTGGTTCGCTTCGCTCCGTCTTTGCCATACTTTGTTAATAAAGTGACGAAGAGACATAAGATAAATCATTTTCTTACGCCTTTCCACACGTTAATAATTATTTCCGCTTACTCGTTGATATAACGATTACCATAATTGTTAAAGTTTCATGACACCCGCGCGAGTTGATATAATTCATCTCGACGATGCAATGTATTAATGCGATTACGTGATTTGGCTATAAACAAAATTCACCGTAGAGACAGTAGGAAAGAATGAAAACGGAGAAATGTTAAATCGCTTGACTTGTCCGTTTCTAGTTTTTCAAGTATTTAGTATTTAAGCATATTAATCGTCGTTCCGTTGCGTCTCCCATTCGAATATTAGCAAGATTTTTAGGCGGAGAGAGGCATAATCTTTTCGACGCGCACGATAGACCTATTCCACGAACGCTTTAATTCTCGTGTAAGCGAACGGCGTGCACGTATGTACATAGAAATGATGACCCATCGGATTGACTCCAATCAGCGAAAACTCGAGAGACGCGAGACGCGATGGGAGTCGCATCATTCACGATTCACTGACGATCCGATCGATGTGCACGAGTTTGTCTTGCGGCGAGAAAGAAGAACGGAAAATTTTTCAAGATCGAACTGGTGTTTTTCACCGATCGATCGACATTTTAGCCCTATACTAAAATAAATCAAATTCTATTCGAGATCTCTTCGCCGAGCAAAAGTATTCTATATGTTTGTATGATAAATGCTTCGATTAATACGTCCTATACATTTTTTTTTTGTTCCAGATATCATCATCTTTTTCAAAGGATTTACTTTAGAAAAAGAAATGGAAAACGTACAAAGAAGTTAAGGAAGCGGAGAAGTGGGTCTCACGAGCGAGTTAGAGCTCGATATCAGAGATAAAGTTTCGAGAAAATAATTAATCTGCGTAGCAAACAGACGACGCGTCTCTTTCTCTCTCTCCCTTTCCCTCTGTCTCTCTCTCTCTCTCTCTCTCTCTCTCTCTATCTATCTATCTATCTGTCTCTGTCTATTTTTATTCGAGTTACAGTTATATACGAAGCAGGTATCAACATAGATACGAATCTGCATTGGAAAGAAGGAGAGAAGGAGAAAAAGAGTGAACCTTACGAGCTAAAAGACAGAGGAGACTTCCATAATATAGAGCAGAGTCGTATTTTGCTCATCAACACTGAGTGATTCCAATTGACGATCGTCTCGACCCTCGGGCTCTCGCCTTATTGGTGAACTTTTTAATACGTTGCGTTACCATTGGATCGTTTCTTTCGACCGATCTACGGCCCACTCGGTCAGAAAGTCTCCTCGTAGACACAGTATCAAATCGTCCATCGAACAAAGTGATCGATATCTCTTTACCTCTGTTTCTTCTCACCCTTCCTCTCTCTCTCTCTCTTTCTCTCTTTCTCTCTCTCTATCTATCTTTCCATCTATATCTATCCATTTATCCATCCCGATCGAATTTATCTTTGAGCATTTAGTAGAAACATAATCTATACTAGTTGTAGCGAAAATTAAAAGCAAAGCCGTTTGTTGCCTGTGTCCACTGTTATCGGTTCTACTTATAAAATCGGCTGAATGGCTATCTATTGGCTCTTACTGTTTGAAAGACTTTGATCAGTTTTCATAATACGTTCGAAGATAAAAAGGAATATTATTCGAGAGGAAAGCAAAAGTGTTGGGACAAAGAAGAAATAAAAATACATCATTCATTTTGGGGTGAATTTGACGAAAAGTCAGCACACCTTGCCACGCGTTGAATATTTTCGAAATCGCAGAAGGAGAAATCATACGAATCAGTGGTGTCTAACGCACGGAATTTCGCTCCTATTTCGAAAGAGAGTTTATTTTTTTGTCAGCGTAATGGAGCGAAGGATTCTTAAAATGTGGTGATAACGTGCGGAGGCAGAGGCCTTTGACAAACAAGACACTATCCAATGTGTGAGCAATAGTCGTTAGAAAAGGAAAAGAATTCAGAACTCGTCGTTCTTCGTGTCAGGTGATACGTTTGACCGACAAGTATCTTACTTGTGAAATAATAAAAAGGAGATAATAAAAGGAAGAAGAGAGAGAGAGAGAGAGAGAGAGAGAGAGAGAGAGAGAAAGGGAGGGAGAGAGAGAGAGAGAGAGAGAGAAAGAAATCCATATAAAAGAGACGGATAAAGAAATAAAAGTAAACGAAAAACTTAGAAACAAGATGCATTGCAGCCAAGGTGTGGCAATGGTATTCGAAGACGCGTTCGTCGTCTTTTCACGTTTTTTGTCGCTAAAGTCGCGGGGCTGTGCACTTTTGGAAACACATCGGCAGCGCGAAACCACTGGCATCAAGAAACTGTACAACAGCTTCTTCGTAATGTTCTAAGGGAAGGTGGAATTTGGATAATATTCGCCCTCTAGAAGCCTACGAGTAGTCGGGTGATGCGCTTCCGTACGCTTCCGGAGTGTCCGAAGAGCCGGAGCCGAAAAAAAAATCAAAGAAACTCAAAATAAACGGATGTACGCTCGGCGAAGGTGTGCCTTTTGATCGAAGGAAGCGAGAGGAGAGAGAGAGAGAGAGAGAGAGAGAGAGAGAGAGAGAGAGAGAGAGAGAGAGAGAGAGAAAAGGATATACGACTTTGATGAATGTCCGCGACTGTCAAAATTCTTCCTGGTCCCTCATGCGCAAATGTCATATCGATAATCGATTATGTTGATCAGACGAAAAACGGCAAGACGGATTTCTTCATTTTCGTCCGACTTATTCTTTCGAGAACGTTTTTATTTCCTAGAGGATAAGCTAGATAAGATCGAAAATAGTTGGATCTGAATCAGGATATTGCGCTATCGTTGATTAGCATTGAGGCCGCTTAATGGAGCTCCATATAATTATGGATGGCGGTACGGAAACCCTGAACGAAGCTATGTGGTTCGCTGAGACACCATCGCCGCCGTACGAACAACTATCGCCTAATTGTCCGAACAGATGCGATGGAATAGTATCGCAGCAAGTAAGTAGGAAAGAGCACTTGCTAAAGCCCCGTTCCTTTTCGATAACGCAATTTTATTTATTCTCTGACAGGCAGCCACCGGTTATAACGATTCTCGGGATACATTGTGGCAAGATAAGGAGAACGTGCTAAAGAGTTGTTCGGAAGAGGGTGCTGCTCGAATACGTTCGAGCAACGAATCGCCGTGTCACGTGTCCTCGTCTCCCGAGCAAACGGGCAATCCATCTCAGACGAACAATTTGAAACGTCGAAACGCTGGTGGCGAACCGACGATACACCCTGTTTCGGAACTCGATAGGAAGCACGCTAGAAGAGACGGTCAGTACGAGAGAGATCGTTTTATCTCTACCATCTAGATCACCTGTTGCTTGCTCAATCGTTGCCGCATGAAAGGCACGACTTCGAAGCGTTTACTGTGCTATCTTCTGCGAGTCAATTATCAATTTACGAATGACGACGACTATGACGTCTTCGCGTCATACCGTTCCGGTTCGCATTAGACATCTCCCCCCACCCCGCCCCTATGCTCCTCCTATGCGCGTACATGTGTGTACAGGCGGAAGCCCTATATCGACGTAACCTATTCGTTATATGCGTGCACGAGTATCTCTTTTCGCATAATGGAAATTGACATTCTTCCTCGCCTACGCGACTTAACCCAGACGCGGCGAGGAGGTATTGCATCTTTCCGAATCTCGCGATCCTCTTTAAAAAAATAATTATTATATTATTGATTCCTCCAAACTAACGCTCTCAGTACAATAGCTCATCCAAGTTGTTCGTCATTATCTTAAAGTCGTTGCCATAGATAAATCATCTTAAAGGTCGTGGCCAAACGACCCCGATTGCACTGTCGTAGCCACTGCTATTACGTTTTACGTCTACTTCGTAAATCGAAGTCGTTTCTATGATTGGACGAATCTTTAACTTGGACGTGTCTCATTGATTCTCCTCCGAATTGTAAATTTCTTCCGCAAAGTTAATGAACGTGACGAGAGTCATAGCTCGTTGCAAATTCGCTTTTGCATCGTTAAAAAAGTATCAACGTGCCGCTTTTTAGTTACAAATCCGACGCCTTTTCGCCCACGTGGTCAATCGTACTGATAACTCTTGCTTCGAGTACATAGTGTATCGAGCAGATTAGTTCACTGTAGAAAGGAGAAAGAGAGAATCCGACGGCAGTATTCTCCAGCGCGATTAAATTCCCTAAGGGTCTGACAATAAGAAGAATAAGCATTTTCTTTTCGCGTGGTGACTTTTATTTTCTCAACGGTGCCAAGTAGAATGAAGTGGAGTGAAGTCGAAAGATCAAGGGTGTCGTATTTCGAAAGTCGACGTTATTCACCGATAACATTAAAAAATCGACGACGTTACCCGCCCTCCCAGGATACGAAAGAGAGAATCGGTCTAATGCATCATCAGTATCATGCCAATTGCGGGAACTTTCAAGGCGGTACGAATCGATCCATTTTACTCGGACAGGCGCGTTCTCTCTTCAAATTGCACGATTGCTTTATCTTTTTCTCTTGGTTGCGCATCTGAAAGAAAAGAAAGAAAGAAAAAAAAAAAAAGAAATTCAAGGTTAATTTCTTGCTCTGTAGGATCTATCGGAAGCAATGGTTCCACAGGTCAAGGTTGGTCCACACAGGTGGAAGAACTTGCGGAACATCTGGCCGACTTTGACGGATCCTTATCCGCTCTCGCGGCTTCCGATCTTGCTACAGCCGTCGCCTCCTACAATATGAGGTAAGATGGGTAAAGTTCTTTTAATGAGTTCGAAACTTCGATTAACAGACGAAATTCAAAAACTCGCGCGGATCGTTTCCCTCTCGGTCGGTATATTATCGGTGGACGTTGGAACTGTTCGTCGATAATGTAGATCTCTAATTTAGGAATCAAGCTGAGATCGAATCTCGATTGAACCGTGTGCAGAAGTCGGAACTAAAGTCAAGACAAAAATCCGGTTCTAACCGGACGCAGTCGTTGGCATTACGTCGTATCGGCGACACAGCCACAAAATTCTAATCATCTTCGGTTATATACTCTCGACGCGTGTGTAGCGTCTATGGAAAATCGTGCGTACGTTAAGAGATAACGAATTTTTTCTAAACAAAGGAATGAGACGATCTTACGAGACGAGAATATACTACTATGTCGTAGACATGTGGAAATTATTTTTCCGTTCGAAACGTAAACGTTTGTATGCGCGCGGATAGGACACTATATAAATAGTAAGAGCTTCATTCGGTACGCGTCGATAATGTAGTAATTTTTCAAGTTCGCGGAAGCACATCGGTATTTGACTATTGGTCTATGCGCGCGCGTTCATTCGTCGGGAGAGAGAGAGAGAGACAAAAGAAAAGAAAAATAATAATCGTTTAGCACTTGAAACTCGATCGCAATCAATGCTGCATTTATTTACATATATCACGTTATACGCGTTTATCGTTATCGATTCGAAATAGTGCAATGATTATTGGTACGTTCACAAAAATCGTTCGATAAAGTTTATTATTACTGTGTGTATATATACATATATATATATATATATATATATATATATATATATATATATGTATGTAGGAAAAAAGACAACTCGAAGGAAAATCCTTCACTTTGCATGGGTTTTTATTTAATAAATCATTAGTCGCGAGATATATATATATATATATATATATATATATATATATATATATATAGAGAGAGAGAGAGAGAGAGAGAGAGGGGGGGGAGAGAATAAAGGAGTGCGATGAATCGAGAACCATCACATCAGTGATCAGCTGACGCGATATAGAATACACGTGGAAAATATTTCCAAACGTCGGATCTTTTCGATAATACGATCGGTTTATTATTAGCTGTCGGATTTCGAGCGGTGCAAATCTCATTCGTATCTACAAACATCTTAGAATTACCGCTTCTGTTTACAAAATGCTCATCGAAAGAGCCTGCTAGAAGTGCGAATCAAAAGTAAGGCCTTTTAAAATTGCTATTGTCCATTGATTTTCAAGTATTTTTAATAAATACGAAAATAACAAATCAAAAAAAAAAAACGACAACGTGGTTTCATAACGATTGATAGGAAAAAATGCATCAGTATATAAAACATGGGTGAGTCGAGAAACATTTTTTTTTCTCATCGAGTTTTTGTAACAAAGTTATGCTCGGCGAACGCGCCACTTGCGTTATGTCGAACTTGAGATTTCCTTTGGAATCATGCGCAAAAAAATTTTCCGCTATTCGATCAGAGTTTTTTCGTCATTCATTTGTGATAAAAAAAAAAAAAAACTTTTATAGGGCTGATATCAAAGTCGATGCACCGGTCGAAGAACCGGTGCGTTCTAGTTTCGGCTGACCTTACTCATTCAGTTTTTATCACGTGGATTCCTTTCTCTCTCTCTCTCTCTCTCTCTCTATCTCTCTATCTCTCTATCTCTCTCTCTCTTCTACCTCCCTCTCTCTCCGTCATCTAAAATGCTGTTTATTTATTTCCCCGAGCAGGAGATAAATACGCAGAAGAATTGTAACACAAAATTGTCTAAGATAACGCGTCGAATTTGTTTAAATTGTCGAGAGATCACACAGAGAAAGGGGGGGGAGAGCGTATAGTTTATGCGTTAATTATCCGACAATTGAAAAAATACATTAATCAGTAGTATTTCTGTGAGACTATCCGTGATATCAACATTCGACTTCGCACCTCGTTCATCACGTGACTTTACTACAAACATGCGCTCGTCGTTTGTATTATTATTAGATTACTATTATAATGTTGTACTCTGCTTCTTTGCTTTAAAAAAAAAAAAAAAAAAAAAAAAATGTTTGACGTTTTCAGCGAAGCTTTACTCGCCTTTCCATCGGTCTTCAAACAGGAAGCACCGTCACCGGAAAATCAACACAACAGTTCGAAGTAAGTAAGCTTATTAATATTGAAGGTAATAAAAGAAAATTTTCAAACGAGAAAGTCAATTAGACGGAGAAAATCGAACGGAATTTACCAGGACGCTCCCCTGCAAAGAGACGAATCGATAAACACTCGATAAATACTTCATGTTCGTCTTTATCATCGTACTTCTGACTTCTTCGGGTCAGAATCTTTAGTCCCACGCCTCGTAGAGAGTTATCTACGTCGAGAGAATGAGTTAACTGTTAGCGTTAAGTATTAGTCGAGCTGGTCATCGTTCCCTCATTAAAGACGTTTTATCCTAAATCTTTGGATAAATACAACACTTTGCGATCTTTTTTATTTTCAAAATATTACATTAAAAGCGATCGCACGAGATATCTCTATGCGATATATCCCTTCCATGATTTATCGAAGACTTCGCCATTTATCTTAATAGGGGATATCTCTCATTCGATGGCAGATTGCAAGGGATTAACGGATAGGTCATGTGAAACGTGAGAAAGAGGGGTGGGAGAGAGCAATGAAAACTTCCAAATTAAAAGTCGCTTCTTCCACTCTTCTAAATTTATAGTGAGTTGAACAAGGCAAATGTTGCGCTCGACAAGTATTGTAGCAGTGCGTGTTGCAGTTTAAATCACGTGACCCAGAGAGCAATAAACGGGCCAGCTTCGAATAATACGAACGTCGGTACGATCGAAGCGGACAACAACAACAACAACAACAACAACAACAACAACAACAACAACAACAACAACAACAACAATGGACAGTCCGCGGCGGCGAGTCTTCATCAGCTGCTCTACTCGGGTAACGAGGAATATCCGGCGACATCGACCTCAGGAAATCACGTTTCTTCCTCTCAACAAGGAAATGAGTTCAACGAGGATTGTCGGTAGGAAATAAAATGCCAAATGTTAAAGGGAAAATCAAACGATTAATCAATCATAGGGAGAAGTTGATGGACAAAGAAACCTTCTTTTTGTAGCTTCCAATACGTTCTTGCAGCGGCTACGAGCATCGCGACAAAGGTCAACGAGGAAACGCTTACGTATTTAAACCAAGGTCAGTCTTACGAAGTCAAATTGAAGAAACTCGGGGATCTGTCGGCCTATCGCGGAAGGATTTTGAAGGTACTTGGTCATGCGCTTTCCTAGAAAAGAAGGAACCCTTCAGGAAAATTTATGTTTGGGTAGCGGCATCTTAAAAACGCTTCGGTGATATGTTACGATATTATATAAGCGAGCTCATGCTGATACTCGTGACGACTTTGACGTAGTACTTTCTTTTGTAATAGACGTTTTATTCGTCGTTTTAATCTTCATCCAGGAGGCCAACTTTGTATACATTGATTCCATTAGGGTCGTAAAAATTCTCAAGTAATTACTCCATTGGCAATGTTCAATCTATAAGGCCGCGCAGAGAGCGAATTCATCATGACACCTCAGCAGACGTGCCATAATACATACAACCGTAGCAACTCGTTGTCGCGTCAGAGATGAGATTCGTTAAAAGGCGTATGTATCTTTAAGAAAATGATCAAAGTTTCGTCCGTATTCGCGTGTACGGACGCGTTCCATGGCATGAGCTCCTCGATGTGTCCTCGACGTTCGCAAGATGTGAGTCGCCCAAACGGTACTACAACGCCTCTGAAGGGACATACGACGTTTTTGTTTCAGTCGACGATTCGTATTTGTTTTCACGAGAGGCGTCTCCAATACACCGAGCGAGAACAAATGCTCGCTTGGCAACGTGCTAGACCCGGTGAAAGATTACTCGAAGTAGATGTGCCCCTTAGTTATGGTATGGTGGACGTTTGTCAACCATCTCCGTCCAGCAATAGCGTAGAATTTATGTGGGATCCCACCAAGGAGGTTGGCGTTTATATAAAGGTAAAGAATAGGCATAGTGCCGGGATTGATGAAGGTAGGGGTGGGAGAGGGGGGACATGATTGAAGGGGGACATGACAAAGAAGCTATTAATTCAAGTACTCGTCTCGTAGATTTGTTCCTTCTTTGTTATCACAGGTTAATTGTATTAGCACGGAGTTTACACCAAAGAAACACGGTGGCGAGAAAGGTGTACCTTTTCGAATTCAAGTCGAAACCCGATTACCCGGCGGACCCCGATTGCATGCCGCATCTTGTCAGGTCAAAGTCTTTAAATTGAAAGGGGCCGATCGTAAACACAAACAAGACCGAGATAAAATTCAACGGCGACCGCCGCACGAACAGGACAAGTATCAGCCCGGTTACGATTGCACTATTTTATCCGACGTAAGATTACTCTTTTTATTAAACACCTAAATCGTCCTAATTCCTAACCGTTATCGCATGCAAATATCTTTATTCTCTTACTTACAGATTCCATTAGAAGCATTGTCATCGTCGAATTTGATAGCGCAAAACGGAGCGAGTCCTTACACGTCAACCGAGGCAATGTAAGTAATTATCACCTTAATTGTATCTCTAATAATTGAAATTAAGAAAATATTGTTTGTCCTCATTAATAATCATGCGATGTGCGTACTTGCGTTTATAAAAAATGAGGCTGACGATGCTGCTCGATCGAGAATCGATTACGAAACAAAAGTCATACATATGCTATTAGTTACGATCAAAGTTTCCGTAATCTTGCATTGACGAAAGAAACGTTATGTCCTTTTCTTTATCTAAATTGCGAAACAATGAGACAACTGCAAATTCGCTCGTGCGATAATCACCAGAGAGTCGTTTCGAGGTCCGCGCGATAGCCGACTAATATTCCGATGAAAATAACCTGAAATTTTATAGCATACCGACAAGACCGATAGACCGCAACCGAAATATACGTAAGTCCCGACCCTTACGTAACTCCTCCTCCAAACGTAAATATCCGAGCAAACCGAATTTTCTCCCGCATAACTCGCGTAGCTTACAATTTTGATCCACTATGGTCCTATCGATCTTTATCGGAAGTGCGATTAAAGATACGACACGATACGATATAAACGTTTTACCTTACGCGTTTAACAAACCGTTTATCTCTCTCTCTCTCTCTTTCTCTCTCTTGGAATCGTTACATTAATAATTACAATTGGCTCGTTCCCCCAAACGAAATGAAAAAAAGTACTGTCAAGAAAAGGTTCAAACGGGATCGTATACAATTTCTATACGTTCCGTTTAGGAATACATAGGATATACAACGTCGTCGTTACAATGGCGATCTTTGAAAAATGTTTAAGAGGCAAACAGCTAATAAACGTCGAGAAAAAAAATACCGTCGTGGTGTAAGGCAGATATAAAACGAAACTTGGCATGGTAGAGTGTGTGTGGGGCGCATTAGAACGAGAACGAGAAAGAGAGAGAGAGAGAGAGAGAGAGAGATAAAGAGAAAGAGAGAGAGCGCGAGCATGTAGCCGCCCCACTGTCGATGCGCTCGAGCGCGATAAAATACGATGAATGCGCACGGCGTTGCCGGATCGTCGGGAGCCGACGAAGGCGGTTAGAGAGCAGAGCAGGGACTGAGGAGTAAAACGGAAGGAAGGTGGAGGTTACCGACGGACCAAGAACTAACAGTTCGTAACCGTGGCTAATAAACTGGCTCGAACTGGCGCGAGCCGGCATCTGGTGGAGCCGGCAGCGACGCAGCGTTGCTACATAGAAAGGAGGAAAAGCGAGAGCGAGAGAGAGAGAGAGAGAGAGAGACAGAGAGAGAGAGAGAGAGAGAGAGATTGCACCGACGACAAATAAATTCAGAACGTCGTACGATCAACGCGTTATCGTCGTCGGTCTGCTCTGTTTAGGATTTTCTTCATATCCTTTTTTTTTAGCTTGTAACTTTGCGAGCAGGTTAGCTATATCCTTTTTTGCGAATCCTTTGTCACGAAATCCGAGTCTCTCTCTTCTCGGTGGTATAAGAGAGACGTTTCTGTAGTTGGGCGGCTCTGGATTAGCGCCCGAGAACGAGATATCTGTCGTGTAAGAGAAAGATCAAAGAAGAATAGCAAACATGATCTATCGTTGAGAGAGTTTCACAGGAAATCAATGTACCATTGGTATCCGTGCATACGGACCGCAAGTGCTCGACGAAATTTAACGGCGTGTTATAACCGCTGTCGACGACCTTGAAGCGAACCCATCGACGGATTTCTATCGTCCGTCGTCGGGAGTTTTCTCGAGGATTTTCTTTAATCGTTCTCAAGTTTATTTCGAGTTTATTCGAGTAATTTTGTTGTCTTCTGCAGTATTGTGCAACGAAGAGAATCGAAAGAATTTTCGCGAGTGATCGTGCACAAAGTGTAAAGTCTCTTACGTAAGCGAACGAAACAGTACGGAGATTCGAAAAGAGAGAAAAAAATCAAGGAAAAAAGAAAAACATTTCGTGCGTGCCTGTGTGCGTGCGTGCGTGCGTGCGTGCGTCGTACGTCGTACGTGCGGTTCGACGATTCGTCAAAGGCGACGCCAACTTACAATAATAGTTTTGTTTTCGTTAAACTCGAGCTTCTTCTTACGTCGCTCTATCGAAAGGAAAAAACAAATATTAAAAGAAGCTTTTCGTTGGAAGGAGAGTCGACAGCGACTCGCGAATCGGTGGCGATCGTCGTCCTCTGAAAAAAAGAAGAAACGTTCAGGCCGTTGGAATGCTCCCGTTTGTCGTTTCAGCGGCACGATCACCGCTATCGTCCATAGGATCGTTCGACTTTACTTTCGTTCCACGGGTCAACGTCGATCTTTCGCCAACTCTCGCTATCGTAGATCGAAAAATTCTCTTCCTCTCGCGGGAAATCGTGATTATCGGTAACGAGCGATCGTTGCCATCGCGACATGATCGTCGTTTGAGATGACGAGCGGCCTGACCGCCGCAAAGCCTAAGCCAGGGCGGTTAAAAACGCTCCTCATTTGATATATCGATAGGACCCTCGCTCTTGTATGGCGAAATTAATTGGAATCAAACGCAACGCGAACAACGAGGAGAGGATCGTTCGGAGAATGGACGATCGATAAAGAAAATACCACCGAGAGAGAGAGAGAGAGAGAGAGACCAGAAGCGAAGCGTAAAGAAAATCTTATCCGAAGATATAGAGAAATTCCTCTCTCTGGAGTTTTGATAAAAAAGAGCAGGAGGAGGTAGGTGGGGATGGAGAAGGAGACGAGGAGCAACGAGTAATATTTTGACAAATAGGAAACGATCCGACGACGACGACGACGAAGGCCAACGAAAAAGAAATCACGCCGGTAAAGACGAGACCGGTGATATCTGGTTTGGGGCAAGTATGCGTCAATCTAAAAGCGATCATCCGGCTCAAACCGATCGGGACAACTGCCACGAAAGCTAACACGCTTTTACCTCTTTCCGAAGGGGCCCCTTCTTCTATTTGTTTTTCCTTTTTTATTTTTCTTTTTTTTTTTTTTTCTTTTTTTTCTCGCAATGGACAAACGTCCGAGACATTGCGAGAAATAAAATTAAACAATTCAATATGTTCGTCGTATTCGCTCGATAAAGAAGATTTTCGAGCGAACGAGATACATATTACATATTTCCTCGAATTCGATCGTTTGGAAATAATCGTCGAGATATCGCGAAATGTCCAAGAGCTTCTCAAATTGGGACTTGAAGAGTTGCTGGACCGTTCGAACGTCGCGTAATCCTAGGGAAGAATCTTCTTCTACGGCATTGATTTTCGAACATGAGGTTACCGTCAAAGGTGGCGGTCCATTAGGAATAGAAATAGTAGCCAAATTCATACACGCTCTTATTGACGGTCGAGCTAGAAGGAATCATCTTTTTCGAGGAGGATTGACGAGTCTTACTTTAAAAAGATGTCGGAACGACTCGAAGAGGATCGCTACGAGCAAGGCGTCCAAGTTAATCTTTCGCCTGAAAACACCTACCGTGTAAGACTAGAGAATAATATATATTTAGGGATTTCGTTTCAACTATTTCTAATTGTAAGCCACTTGTCTTTCTCCCCTTTCCCTCCCCCCACCATACCTTTCCTCTCTTCGCCTTTTTGCATGACTCTACGTGGGTGTACAAAATGCGTTATGGTCGTTTCGCTTTAATTGTTCCCAATAAAGTTAATTTGTCTGAAACGTGATATTATAAATCTCTCTCTCTCTCCCCCCCTCTCTCTCCCCCCCCCCCCCTCTCTCTCTCTCCTTCACAAACACACACGCACTCGTTCACTCCCGTTTATCGCTCTAATTGTGATCGTATAAATAGAAATAGAGAGAAGGCGCGTTTCCAGTCGCGTCTATATAATCGTGTATTTTTGCATCTTTTTCTAGATCACCACAAAGCCGAGCGAGCGTAGGTGGCAACGTTTCGCCCATTAGAGCACCCTCGGCCCTATCGGTCTCCGCTTCCGGAGTCGTACCCTTGGTATCAGTGCCGGATGCTGCGAAAGAAAACGTAGGAACGGCACCGGCTCTTCCATCGCCCGCAGCCATCTTACCGGATCAATCTTGCATCGTTGAAACCGACAACGTTGGTTTCACGAGGAAAAACGCTAATTCCACGAAACAATTGGAATCTATGAAAATCGTAATTGCGTTTTCTTTAATGAAAAAAAGCATTTGTTTTCGATATCTTCTTCGAATGTATTTATCGATTTTTTCATATTCCGATTGTACAGGGAACATCTTACTTCACCGAATTGGCACCGGACGCTAATACAGCGCAAACGAGCGCGTGGCTTCGAGCGGGCCGATTCAACGCTTTCGAGTCGACCTTCGCAAGTTTCTCAGCTTCTGACATTTTACGGCTCTCCAGAGACGACTTGATACAAATCTGCGGTCTCGCCGATGGAATACGATTGTTCAATGCTTTGCACTCGAAGGCACCGACGCCGAAACTCACGCTCTATTTCTCCTTGGAAAGTAACGGCTCGCTCTGGAGAGTCGCTTATCTCGATCATTTGACCAGCAACGCGCTAACGAACAAATTAACGAGTACTTTGAGCCTATCTCAGGATCGTTTACACTCGGTGCTTTTCCTCGGTCCTCAAGGAATTCACGTTTTGGTTACCGACGAATTGGTTGCTAATATGAAGGACGAAAGCATGTACTTCGTGGAAACTATCAAAGGTAAATACGATCAATAATCCATTTACGATCAAACTTTATTCCTTCAAATCGATTGTTTCTTTTTTGCTTTTTTTTTCCCCTTTTCTTTTTTTTTTTTTTTGTTTTTGTTTTTTTTTGTTTTTTTATAGATACGGCCAGCGAACGGTACAAATTACTCTTGAAATCATCCTCACGCTGAACACCGACGGATAACTAATCCGTTAGTATGGGCATCGATTTTGTAAATCTTTATGAGAAGATAATCGAACGAGGAAGAGCACGATGATGCGCGATGATACTCCGATACTTTACTCTTTGTGCAATATCGTTTATATAGATGTGATAAATGTGCATCGTTATGGAAGAAAAACGAGGAAACGATTCAAGCGAGTTAATCGGCAAATTTACATTCTAACTAATTAAAGATAATGCACGAAAGGGAGTCATCTATTTAACTTATCAATTTGTAGGCGCATACATTTGTATTTATGACATAGACGGTATCGATCATCTTTTTTATACGATAATAACAAATTCTCGTCGTATGGTATATATTGATTTCCAATATTTCGCATTATAAATCACTTATATTTTTGACAATAATAGCGACAATACCGAAAGAAATGTTCGAGTGTTACGAGCGAATTTGTTTTTTGCCATATTAATTTAAATCTATTTGAGTAATATCGATTTATGTATACATGGCGCGAGTTAAGAAATGGTCTGGTAATGGATAGCCTCGTCAAATTTGTTACGTTATTTTATTTCATCTCTTACGAGAAAAATGAAATTTATTATTAAAAATATATTTTTATTGCGTTATGATATTAAATATAACCGTTGTTTTTCTTCTTTTGTTATTCATCAGTAAACTGTTGTTGTATAGGTAGATACTGACTTTTTAAAAGCATCACAGATTTTGAATACCAAATGACTAATATTTACGTAATAAAAAAGAAAAAAAAACCTCATAGTTATTAACGTCGTAAAAGTTATTTTATTATCGTGTTTGTTCGATTGATATAACTGGAAAATGAATGGAGCGAAATGTGAAATATGAAATTCATAAATTTCTTCGTTCTTTCGCAACCAATGGAAAATATTTATTAAAGCGGCACAATCGATTCGCGTTAGGTGCCTTAATTGTTCTGCCAAGCATAATTCCAAATGCTTCCAAGGAATGCGGTATTAAATATGCAAATTGTACAAATTTGATCGGTCTTAGCTACGTCTGGTTTCACGGAAAAACTTACCAAGTATTATAACCTTCCTGTTATTTGTTATGTCGTAAGAGTTTATACAAACTATAACTGTTAATAGGATAAAACAAATTATAAGCATACGCATATAATGATATGTTGTTATATATTTACAATGAAGCGTACCTGTGCGTCGAACGGCAGCTATATTTAGTGTCGTTTTCATCGTTTGACATGATTATATCTCCAGTAATTTACATTGATACGTACAACTAAAGATATATAATAAGAAAGCGATAAATTTGCTGAAAAAGCAATTAATGCCTATCTACCTTTACATATATCGCGCGATTATAAATCAGCTATTTTTTCACTATGGTATGTTACGTGCCGCGTATAATTATTATTAGCTATTGATAATTTTTACTATAAAATTTTTTACTGACATAATATGTATCATATATCCGTTTAATACGTATACGTTTCAAAGTCTTTGCGGAACGAAATAACAAATCGGCATGTAAAGGTAGCGTAATAACGTGTCGTCTCTATAGAAAAGAAATTTGAATTTTGTAAGATTACTTTTAAATCTGACGAGGAACACTGTGTACGCTCATAAATCCACGCGCGTCGATATACAAATTATATTAAGTATTGTGTGTGTGTGTGTGTGCGTGCGTGCGTGCGTGCGTGCGTGCGTGCATGCCTGTGCTGTGTATACGTAGTCTCGCAATTTGCGTACAATCAGTCTGAATAAGCATAATAAATATTTTTCAATGAAATCGTAAGAGACATTTTAACATGATATCATCTTTAGACGATAACGACAACGACGACTACGACGACTCGAAACTTCTCAGGAAGGATTAAAAAACTTAAATATATATACATATATATATATATATTCATAAATATATTACTTTATTTAACAAAACGTAATATTGACAATAAAATCTCAATTGACTTCATCATTTGACACGTGAGACCGTAGATGATTGCTTATGTAAAGCAACGTAACAGCTCATTTTTATTATAAATCGTCACTTTTATTCGGTGGAAAGTAGGATTTTGTACTCTCTCGTTTCAGTCAACTCGTTTCGTCGTTGGATTCGAAGATCCTCGACTACTTTTTCTTCTTCAACTGTTTGTTCTTCTTTTTCTCCTCTCTCTTTTGTTCGCGCTCCCTCAAGCATTTGAAAAGTTTATAAACGAAGAATACTGAAAATATATACGATTTTAATTAACAAATTTCGTACAGCGTTCGAGTTCGCTTAAACGAATGATTATGTACAGTGCAAAGAATTATGAAAGCGTCACAAAGAATAATATGAAATTGGATTATTGAAAGATATTTGTCTATATGGTTGTGGATTATGTATATGAGTTCCAGTTTCATAATCACACTAGCTCGGAATATTGTCGTACCTAATACAAAAAATATTAGGAATATTGTCAAAAAAAAAAAAAAAACGTTAGATCGCATCAATAAGGAAAACGAAGCGGTTGTATTCCAATCGCTAAAGATCTCTTTAACAAGTACTTTAACTTTCTTCATAAAACTTTTCTTATTCTCATCTTCTAGATTTTTCAATCGAAGAAGAATGTCGATCAACTTTTCTTCTTGCTTTTTAGAAAGAGCATCGATATTACACAAATTTTCTAAGATACTTTCAACCATCTCGAATATTTGGTCTAATGCTGTTAAAAGAAACAAATTGAAACTACAGGTGATAATCAATTGGATTTTTGTATAGCGCTTCGAGTGGACGATTAGATAATACACGATATCGGGATAGTTGAGCTCGATACAGAGAACAGTTTTAACGGGCTAAGGTCAATGATTTAAATCAAATGCCTACGCAATCATCGAAAAAATGCAAAGGCAAGCGAATTAGCTCGAACCAACGAGGATCAAATTCCAAAGACTAAGGATAAAGAGTTCATTTCTTTGTTTCACGTTCTCGATATTTACCAAAAATGAGAGCTACGACGGCGAGCAAGGACAACAAAATGAAGGTCTGATTGATGAGATTGCGAGTGGGCACTTGTTTTACGTTCGAGGCACGACCTTGAATAACCTTCATCAAATCTTCCTTCAAGTTGGCCCTTTCTTCCTCGGACATGTCGACCTACGAGTCGAGTATCTCATGCAGGTGTTGGATGTTAAACAGAGTGATCCATTGAAATTCGTTCTCTAACTTTTCTCCGCATCGCCAATATACTTTCGTATACAATTTTGTCGGCGGTGTAAGCGTTAACGAACATCTTAAGCCCACTCACAATCGACCGCCATATCTTAATCGAACACCAACGATTAATATGCCGAATTTTTTATAGAATTATCTTTACAAGTTCTTCATAAAAGGCCACACGTTTATTCTTATCGCACAAGTTCCATCGAAAATCGCATATAAGAGAGCGCAAGCTCTCTTGAAAGTGTAGAATGTATCTGTGATCTTAAATAAGAGACTTTTACGAGAAGATCTGTCGGAAAGCATATGCTTTTAAAAAAAACGAAACGATCTACCACTGATGAGAGGAAATTGTTCGCCCTTTGGCGAAAAGATGGGCTAAAAAGAGGGCTCGCTTTACGATTAGTAGAATTTCGGATAGCAGATGCCAACGTGGCTTTTAACGACGCGTGCTTCAACTTCGCCAGAACGACTTGACATTTTCCAAGGTACAGATAAAGAGAAGACTCTCTGAATATAGTCTGTCTTTCTCTCCTCTCTCTCTCTCTGTCTCTCTCTCCCTCTCTCTCTCTCTCTCTCTCTATCTCTCACCCCTCGTTTATGAGAGTGTGTATGAGAAAAAAAATATTGGCAGGCAGAGAAAAAGATAAAGATAGGAAGGATCCCTTATCATGGCTGCTGAGCGACTCATCAAATTGACCTTTCTCGATACCGTCTGTTAGCCGGCTGTTTTATAAAAATAAAATATAAAGCTTGTGTTATATAAATTTCATAATATAATAAAGTGATGAGAGAGAGAACATCGCTCGACTATCCATTGAACTTAAATTTCTTATATAAAAAAGAAAAAATAGATGTGCGATTAAATTAGTCAAAAAATATTTGCCAGTTACATTCGATAGCTGCTTATCCATCTGAAAGCACGTCTTTTTAACAGCTGTTCAAATTTCTCCTCTCATTAAATATTTTAAAATGTGTATCATAACGTGCTAGAAATAGCCGTTAATGGTACCTTCATAGTCCAATTCGAAGATCCAGCTAAATAAATTATCGAAAATTTGTTTAACGATGGAAATGTATTTTTTTTCCTTCTTCTTTTTTTCAAATCACCCGAGAGAATAAATCGAACGGAGAGAGATAAGCAGCCAATCGTCGACTTTTTACGTTTCGCGTTTCCTTTCGGGATGAAAACAAAGTTGAATCTTCTCAAAGATCGAAATAACAACTAGAGAAATAACATGTTGGAGATGACGGATAAACGAACGCGTTCGATGCGTAAAAACCATATGTTCTTTCTTTCATGGTAAGATCGAAGAAAGAAAAGGAAATAAAAAGGGAGAAAAAAGGTATAGGATATATCGAGTTTCAAAACGAATAAGAATTCTTACCGGAAAGACCGACGACTATTATCGTTGGAAGAACGAAGACGACGTTGTTAAAGCCGTGTTGATACGGCGTGTCAGGTCCACTGAGATCCACCATACTTTTGCTTCCTTTCTCTTTCGGATAAATGAGAATCTTCAGGAATATTTCATCGCACTCGCGGCGGTGCTTAGCGAGAACAGGTGTCACCGCGACGCCATCTGCGGAACGATGAAGAAAATGAGAATGCGTCTCGTTTTCGTTTCGCGTTGCTTATCCTTTGTCAATCCTTTCTTCTCTATATGTTTCAACTCTTATAGTATACTGTACGTCTTTATATCTATGAATATATACATATAAAAGATGCCAAATGGAAAAACAATGAAAAGACGAGACAAGTTTAATCGATGTATTTCTCAAATTCACGAACGAAAGAAGTATCGATCTTTTGTCGCTCTCGACGACAGCGCAATAGACGATATCTACTCTACTGAAGAATTTCAAGTTCTTTCTCTGTCCTTGTACAAATAACAAGAATTGCCATTATCAATATTAATGATGTTCGTTGGAAAGTAAAAAACGATAGAGAGATGAAATATCAATATTATAAATTTGTATTGTTCTATTCATCGATAACGTAATACTATTTACGTTCAAATTTCCCGGTCCTTTTTCATAAAATAGAAGCTACTATATTAGTCAGTTTAGCGTTTATAATTAAGCAATAAGGAAAAAATTATAAGATAATCGGTAAAGTTTTTCAAGCTGAATTTTGCCGAGATAATTTAATTCATAAATGTACGCATTTAAAAATGGAGAAGAAGGAATGAAAGAAAAATTTTTCATACTGGTCGGCAATGAAAAACCGCCTCTAAGCGACCCCAGTAAATCTTAGTACAATCGCATTTGAGTTGTGCTAACACGTCGGTCATAAAGCGTCGAAGAAAGCATAACGGTCTCAACATGACTGCTGTGAATGGTGGAAGCGTTTTGAAATTCGCCAAATTATCAGAAAAAGCATATGCACCTACGAAAGGTTCAGCTTTAGCGGCTGGATACGATTTACGAAGGTAGGAATTATTTTTCTCAGTGATAAATTCAACGAATCATTTTGAATTATTTCTTATACTTAGTGCTTATGAGTGCGTTGTACCGGCTCGAGACAGGAGTTTGGTGAAAACTGATATACAAGTACAGGTTCCTCCTGGCACTTATGGCAGAATAGCTCCAAGATCTGGTTTAGCATTGAAAAATTTCATAGATGTTGGCGCAGGCGTCGTTGATGCGGACTATCGGTATATACTTTTTTATTCTTTTTCAAATAATAATAATAATACGAATAATATGAATTGTAACTTGCAAAATACTATGCTTGCAGTGGAAATCTTCAAATATTAATCTTCAATCATAGCGACAAAGAATTTAAAATAGCACCTGGAGACCGCATCGCTCAATTAATTTGTGAAAAAATAGAATATCCTGAATTAAAAGAATTGGATACTTTGGATAAAACGACAAGAGGGGCGGATGGATTTGGTTCTACAGGGAAAAATTGAGATAAGAATGGAGGAAAGTAAAAAAGGTTTATAACCGACAAGGCTAATTACAAACTAGAATTTAAAGAAAGTACAATATTTTTCTATTACTATGTCAAGTTTATTCCATCGTATCGACTTTTTTTACTATTTTTATAAGACATTCATGTACGATATAATGAAATAATATACACATTTGTCACATCCAAATTCTTTACAAAAATATATTTCATAATCCATCTATTTTTTACGAATTAAAAGATCTCAAACAGAGGAAAGCTAGCTATCTTTATATCTTTGATACGGTTACAAGCCCTGTATATAACGTAGGCGTTCTTACCAATTTTTGAACGTTCTTAAACTCTTCGTGCTTTGCATCTTTTAATAATTTAAAAATAACAGTCTCTGAAGTAGATATGTGACATCCTATTGCTTGCATCCTCTATAAAAGCGCGTCGTTTCATTAATATCTTTTAATAGATTTTAAATAAATCGCATATCTCACAATCGATTACCTCCAGTGCTAATAACCTATCTTCTTGCGTGCGAGATGTACAACAATCTGCCACGGTATGAACCTCGTATCCACTCATTTTCAAATCAATCGCTGTATTCTCAACGCAGACATGAGTTTCAATTCCGATAAGTATTATGGACTCAGGACGGGTTCCGCAACAAATATTGGAAAGTGCTTCGTTGACCTATGAGAAAATATCATATACTTAATATTGCAAATAATGAAATAATTAAGAACTTATACTACAAGCTGAGCCTTGAAGAATTAATTACTTACGTCAGCGGTACACATACTAAATTGAGTTTTCTCAAAAGGACCTTTAGCGCTAGATATATCTAGTTGTGGTACAGTTTTCCCCAAAGCTTTTGGATTTTGTTCCGTCACAATCATTGGAACTTTTAAAAGTTTCATGGAATTTACCTAAACGATAATATGGATGTATAATTTATATTTTATACGCGATACAATAGGAACGTAACCTCAAACTTTATAACTTTCTCATTCACAATTCAACTGTTATCAAGCATATACGCAAATATGTTAACGTTATAATATACGATAACTTTTGAGCAAATTACCAATTTTACAGAATTTTCAAGAACTTTATCAAATTCGAACATAGCTTTTGCGAATCTTTCTTGAAAGTCACATATAAATAATACAGTTTTTCCATTTTTAAGAATTGCCTTTGCTGCATTTATTGCCATTATTTCAACAAAATTTTTGGAAAAAGGGTTAGGAACGGTTTGATGCACTAGCACATACGACACCAGTGGAGTTTGTCGAGTGAAAGACAAGCGAACAGTAGCTCTCATCGATATATCAGATGACGGCAGAAGTATTAATGAAATTCAATTCTTGTATAATGCAGTTTGGCCTGTCAACGGTTAGATGGCGAAACTTGTACTCAGTCTGCAATCGAGGAAGGTGATAGTGCGTTTGGAAGGGGCCGGAGGGGGTGGAAAGAGAACTTACGGACTCCGTTGCCATTGTCTTCCTATATAATTGTAAAACTCCATTTTCCCCAATGAATTTTAATCCATTGGATAATCGTTGGATAGAAATTTTCAAGTCGCAAGGCAGTAATATAAATAATAAGGACGTCGTTCACATCTGGCGAATCAGTTTTTTCTTTTCCACGAAAATCGGCCAAATCGTACAATAGTACATAGTTGCGATTATTTTTAATTTATTTAAACGATCTAACGTTTTTACGACTATCAATGTAATATAATTATAATTAATATTTGAACGATGGTGTACTCGTTGAAAAGTTACACAGTCATCGAGAAACGTTGAAATGCGAAATAATTTTAATCTGACATATTCGAGTAGATGTCAATTTTGAACTTTGAGCGGCAATCCGCGGTGAGAAGCGGATATTACTTACCCGATTTAAGGTCTTTGGAATATCATTGTATGTCATGTGGTCGCATTTCACATTTTTATATTTCTGTTAATTCTGATTATTTTTGCGGCATCGTACGTATCGCGCTTCGTACATTATACTGGATGATGTGCATTACGTCGAAACTAATATCGTCCTAATGGGTACTACGACATATATGTAGGTCATAATAAAAAATTAAATGTCTATCTGCTTGCGGTATCAAAATGTATTTAATAATATATATGATATAGAGCGTGAAGAAGCTTTCGTAAGAAGCTTTCTAATATAAAATAAAAACTTGTCCGGGTGGCCGATTTTCCAAAGTACTTGGCGATTTCATTTCAAATGGCGACGAGCCAGTTATCTATAATAAATAACAATTAATATACATATATATGTCAAAGAAGAATAATTATAATTCACTTTGGCAAGTCATAATTGGCAATTCGAAAAATGAACGGAGTCGTAAGTTTTTTTAAGTTGTACTATCGCACTTATTCGTTTACCGCAACATTAATAAAACTTTATGTTATTACTGGAAACATTTACGTATACACATCTAAAAATATATAGCGTTGAAGGGCGTATCTTATCGATAGTCAAAGTGGATAATAGAATATGTCTGCGCTTTTACGGCTGAATTTTCTAAGAAAGAGAGGTAATGAATTCAATCGTGATAGATATATAGTAACACATACACTCATTTATTATTTATTATTATTATATATTTAGATTATACGTAGCTTATTGTTTTTATTCTTTTTTTCTTTTATTTCTATACTTCGTAGCAACAGCAAATATACTATATGTTCGATCGCAGAGATAAATATAATCTTTGGTCTATCGCAGATGTATCATTCATGCCATAATATCGGATATTACCGTGAAATAATGAGCCCCATATTCATCATTGGTAGATCGTAATCAAGAAAAGAGGCTCGTTAATTATTCCGGAATAATAGTCTCCTTGGTGAAGTTAAATGGGTTCGCTTAATAAGCCGAAAAATTTGGAAACAGTCAATTTCCTTTCGATGAATGTATTCGAAGATTGTTATCGAAAAGGTTTCTCTTTCAAAATCAATCGATAGTAGATTACGTTACGCTTTTTTTTGATCATGTTGCCTAAACATAATCAAAATAAATTTTTAAAGAATCAAACTCTCTCTCTCTCTCTCTCTCTCTCTCTCTCAATCACTTGTTCTTCTTTCGTCGAAGCACCGCGTCGTAGATTACATTTCTCTTCCATTAATATCAGCAAGATACGTCGCACTGCATCCATCCATTTCTTACGCTGCATTAGATGCCACCACGACTGTACTCCGTTCAACGAGTCGAGTTAGTAAAAATAAACGAAACATTTGCGTGTTAGGCACGTGATAAATGCAATGAACACCAGCTATTGGATGTCAAACAATAGTCAATTGTAAAATTCAGAGGCGAAAATACATGGGTCATTATTAAGAATTATTTCATTACGAGAATCCCATTTAAAGCTGGTGCAGGATCTGAAAATTGTAAATACGCTCCTATCCCGATCACGTAGATTTGTTTATTTCTACTGACTCGACTCGTTCAATGGAGTACAGTAAAATAATACGCGAAAAGAGCAAACGATAACAAGCGATACATATGAATATGGATAAGAGAAACGTTTGGCCTAATAAAAGTTCAGGGACAACGTTAGCGTTCCCGGTTGGTGATTTATCGGATATATACTTTTTTCAAGTTACGCACGAGTCCTTTCACTGCGTTTCAAAAATACCAAGCTTTTTCACGATTCAGTATGCAATTAAAAAATTATTTCACGTTATATTACACTTTATAAGAGATTTCAAAAAGTCGAATCTCTTTTATACGTATGTTTCTTCGATATTATATTTTATTCGAGCTACATTGATTTTATCGTGTGCAAAGATCAAAGGATAAGAATTAAATTGAGCGATATAGGTAGAGCAAAGGAAAAGCAAACAGTTTAAGTAGAGAATATTATAATCGCATCGACACGAGAGGAAATAAAAAATGTCATACCGCCTTGAAAGTGAAAAGAAAAAAAGAAGCACGATGCTAAATAGAAAACGAACGACGAAGCATTTTTTATCGTTTCTCTTTAATAAAAAGAGGAGAACGCAAGAGTAATATACATTTCTATCGATAAAGCAAGGAAGGTCGCATTATACTCGCATAAATTCTCACGGATCGATCGATTGGATATATTCGAGAACATCGTATAGAAGAAAATGGATATTTACGAAGGGTTGGACGCGCGGTTGATAAAAGATAAGAGACAAGCAGTAGAACCGGAAAAAAATATTGCAAACATCGTTTAATTCATGGTTTACCTTACCTGCCAAAATTAACTTTAATATATACGATACAATATACGTATGTTTTTGGAAGCGAAATGAACGAGAGAGAGAGAGAGAGAAAGAGAGAGCTACTGTTCGTCTAGCTATTAAACGGAAAAAGTCAATCGCATTGTTTCGATCGATCGTAGTCGATTGGTACGACGATTAAAAAGAATAACGAAATTTTAATTGGTCTTGGAATTGGCGAGCTTGGATAGGAATGTTCGCGCCTTGAAGAATATTGGTAAGTAATCGATGTCGTTGGATATCATTGATATTACTTTAATGCATTGTCTCGCCCTCGTTCCGCTTGCTTTCTCTCTCTCTCTCTCTCTCTCTCTCTCTCTCTCTCTCTCTCTCTCTATTCCCTTTACACCTTATTTTTTCATCCGTGCAATAGGCTTTATTAATAGTACGATAACGCGCGTCGGCCTTATAAACGCTCGCTGGTGTGTGGAAAGAAAGAGAGGAAGGAAGGAAGAGAGAGAGAGAGAGAGAGAGAGAAAGAGAGAGAAATGTTAACCGAGCAAGTGGTGGGGAAAAGCGAGATGTGACGATGGAAGGAGAACGCGCAGTCGCAGTTTCACGACATACCAGGCGCGAGTCGGACGTATTAAGAGGGATTAATCGAGAGTACATACATACATTGCCGAGCGAGACGCAGTGACGGAATGAATGTTAAAGATCGTCGTTAGAGTATAAAACGCACGAGCTAGTCGAATTTCGGCCGAAGCTAAGTGAAAGTAGATTAAAGACGACGACGACGACGACGACGACGAAGACGATGACGACGACGAGGATGCTTGTGCGAAACGAATACGAGTAGCTATGACGTAGCTCACGACAAACAAACAAACAAACAAAAAAAAGAAAGAAATCAATCGCAAACCCGATTGAAGTGCGTATAAGAGGACCTTGAGAAGAGAGAACAACGAGGATTTCGAATTTTCTCGAGTTTGTAAACAGAGAATGGCCGTGGAACCTCGTGTCACTGGAAACACCAAACCCCTGGTGCCACTCTTCATAAAGGCAACAGACTGCGTTTATACGAGCTGCTATTGGTGAGAAGAAAAACAGTTCGTTGCGTTAATTAGACGTACTATCGTTTGTCTTGATACGCGGAGGCGAGATCGATTTGAAGAAATAAATGTGTCGTATTGCGGCATATCCCGCGCCTGGATCGATACGCGTTGCGGTGGTGGAACGAACGTCGCTGATACGGAGCACCGCCATTATCGAGGGAACGAGAGAGAGAGATAGATAGCGTGCTACCAATCACGAACGCCCACAGGAGGTTATTCAAAAATTCGCGCTTCGCCGACAATTCGATCATTGGCCGAGACGCATCTTATTTTTCTCTCTTTTTCCCAACCTCGCCCCGCCCCCCTCCACCCCGTATGTCTAATACGTTACCCTACGCATGGTAAAGTTTTATTTACGTCTTGTCCTTTTCGTTAATGCTTTCGAGGTGAGGAATTGCTCTATCGTAAATCGTTCGGCCCTTCTTGATTATCTTGTTTCGATTTTAAAATATATATCTGATAAATCTAAAGGTTAATTATTATCGCGCGCACGCGAAAACGCTGTTATAGGTTATTTATTATTTTTATGGCGTTTACGTGCGATATTTTCATGATCATTTTCAGCGAAGAAAATGTATGGAAACTGTGCCAGGACGTCGCTACCAAACACGGTTCGGAATTACAACATTGTCACGTTGCTTTCATAAGCAATTCTCGACGTAGCGTTCCACTTTGGCGTCAACGAGCTGGCAAAGACGAGGACAAGCTCGTAGTTTGGGTTAGTTCATTCGATTTATATCGGTTTCGTTGAAAAATAATTTCTTTCATATTTCTTCAGGATTATCACGTTATCCTCATTTACGCGCCCGACGAGAGAGCCGTCGTTTACGATTTGGATAGCGCTTTACCATATCCAACGCACTTTTGGAAATACGCTACGGAAACGTTCAGATCGGACGAGGCCTTGCGACCAGAATATCACAGAAGATTCCGATTGGTTCCCGCCAGTCTTTATTTGCAACAATTTGCCTCGAACCGGCAACACATGAAACGCGAGGACGGCACGTGGATCAAAACGCCACCCGATTATCCTCCGATTTCAACGCCAAGTACGTATACCTTTTATTTCTCGCAATATTGATTTCGATTACGAATCCGTACGTTACAGCGTGCAAAGACAATTTGGATTCGTTTATCAACATGGACCCGGATACCGGATTAGGCACCGTCATGAGCCTGAAACAGCTAGTGAACAGATTCTATAGGCCGAACGTTAACACACCGGCATCGCCCTCACCTCAGACGCAAGCAACTCCGACTTAAAAACGAACGACCTCAAGAACGAGTATTTACGCGTACTCGAAGCCTTTTGCTTTTTTTGAGGAAAAAAAACAAAAAAAAACAACAAAAAAGGAAAAGAAAGAATATACAAAATCATTATATCGTGTGGCCTAAGAGAGAGAGAGAGAGAGAGAGAGAGAGAGAGAGAGAGAGAGAGAGAGAGAGAGAATCGATAGGTGCTCGTCGTACGTCGTATCTACGACTCTCTTCCCGTCGAGGGATTCGATACACCTTTCGAAATACTTACCCACAAGCGTCTCGTTGTACATAGGTCCGCGCGTCGTCTTGTCTTCTCTTCTTGTGTCCTCTTCTCGTGTCGCAACGCACACGAGCAGAAAAGTATATACATATAATGGCGAAACGAGTCGAGTCGCGATACGAGTTCTCGTAGTTCGCGACGATCCTATCGGATATTCGTTCGCTTTGTTGAACATATCGAGAAACGTACGAAATACGCGCAAACTAAGATATTTTTTATTTTATTCCGTTAGTAATAATTTAATAATAATAATAATAATAATAATAATAATAATAATAATAATAATTAATGATAACGATTACGCGGATGATCCTCGTTTGTGTTCTCTGCGTTCGTTGAAAGTACGACGGGACACTTTTCTTTTTTATCCACGCGTTTCTCTCCTTCACGGAAAATCAAAATACGAGGTCGCCGTTGTTCGAAAAAAAAGAGAAAAGTAATAGAAGAAGAAGAAGAAGAAGAAGAAGAAGAAGATAATTTAATGGCTCCTTTATACGCACACATTTATCAGTGATTTATTCGTCGGTAAGTACTTCGACCATCGTATATTTTCGGAAGGATTCTTCGTAACGTTTCTCCACTCTTTTTCGAGGGTATATTTTCATCTTTCTCTTTCTAAATATCTTTACTCGAGCCTTCTATCCCCGTTCTCTATCGCGCACAATGTTACGACGTTTGACCATGCATCAAAAACTTAAATCGCCTTTTATAAGTGTTCTCGTCTACGGAAAAAAGAGGAAAACGTTTAATGATTATATACATACGCACATATATATATGCATATAGATGCGCATGTGTGTATAAAAGACGATCTTTCTCACTCAGCTTTACTCTCTATCAGTGGTATTATTATAATTATTGTGTCAAAGACTGATGTATTTACGGGAGAATCCCAAACACGAAGAAAATCCCTTTGGTGATATTCGTTGGCGCGTGTTCGTTGCACGAACACGATTAAAGCGCTTATAATTAATGTGTGATCGATAATGTAAGAAGCAACGTCTTACTCTCTTGCGAGATAATTGTAATTATAAACGATTATTATAATCCTTGTGATACTTTACACTTTCTACTTTGAATACTTACGCTGTACTTATCTACCGTCGTTTGTACTATAAGCCAGAGATTCTTTTAGAAGTCTTACGAACCACGTCGTTGCTCGTCGATGAAGATAAACCCGGCATGATATGCAATACATATATGTTGTGTAATATTGGTAGAGACCAAAAACCAAAAAAAAAAAAAGAGAGAAAGGGAAGCATCCCGTTTGAATCAACGAATTTATGAATTATGTTTCAAAGCGACACAAATTACCCCTCCCCCGGACAACGAAGGGACTTTAAACAATTATCTCTTGTTTCGCGCTAATCGTTCAATCGATTCGTTTCATTCGAACTTCCTTTTCGATGATTAGAAACTAAAAATGTTGCGACGATTCCGTCGCGATAACGTCGTTTATCTCTAAGTAAGATATGTACATGAATATAATTAATCGGGAAGAGCTTCATCGGCGAACGACAGATTAGGAAAAGTATTCATTTTCTCGTATATAACATAACGTTCGCGAGTCGACAACCTCGAGAGAGTTCGTCCACTCTTTGCCTTCCAAAACTTCTTACTCGCTCGCTTTATTCTCCTTCATTTCGATAATGTCTTTGATCTCTTCGACTCTTTTACATTACATATATACATATATACATATATACATATATATATATATATATATATATATATATATCATGTTACACTACGACCAAACGAGCAGGAAAAAAGTATATCCTGCTTATCGAAGCGTATTTTTGACGTAGTCAAAGGGTATTTGCGATAAAAAAAAAAAAAGAAAAAAATCGAAAAAAAACAAAAAAAGAAAAAGTAAAACAAAAAAAACAACAAAAAAAGGTCATTTCTTTTCTCTTCTTCTTGTTAATAGATACCAAAAGAATTTATTGCCTTTATACGAAATACCGGGCACCGTGTTACGCACTTTGGTGATGTAGTACTGAGCTCTTTATATAAATTACAATAAAATTGTTACACTTATCAAAACAAACAAGGCGAAAATATAGAAAAAAGATACAATTTCTCTTTATCGTTCATATGGAGCATTGTTACGTATATCGAAAGAAAGATGAATTATTATTGATTAATATTAAATGATAATATATATGTATGTGTGTGTGTATATATATATATATATATATTATTATTATTATTATTATTGACACATCATAGTACGCATATACATACATATATCTTGATGCATATATATATGTATACTTGTCGATATATATTTCATATTTATTATATTGATATATTGTAATTACATAATGTCTTGTATATATATGTATATGTGTTTATATACATATATATATATATATATATATATATATACGTCGACGTTCGGTAACGTATTCTCTCATCATTATCACTTTACGATCTATACAAGTGCCGAGACTCGAGAATGAAAGGAAAAAGCCTGTCGCCACGATTTTCGCATGTTTGCAGGAAGAACGTAAGAAAAACTTATTTAAAATAAAATTTCTCTTTTCGATTATCCATAGGTTATTATAATAATAAATGGATGCACTCCGTTTGTTTCAGCTTAAAAATTATAAATGTACTTGTATTCTTCGTAGATCATCACGTGCCCCAACCTCTCCCCTTCTCTCCTGGTTTCTCTTTTTCTTGATTTCGAATATCCTTTTTATCGTAATTAAGTATCATTGAAAGTTAGAAGAAAAAAAAGAAATATGAGCATAATCTTAAAAACGTTATCAGTTCCTCAATAGAATTTCAACGATCGTAATTTTCTTTTTCGTGATAGGAATTGTAAGTGAACGAATAAAAAAATTTGCGAAACGTAAAAGCTTCGATGTATTTTGCTCGTTTATCTACATAGAAACAAAATTAAAGAAGCTACGCATACCAAAATTTTGTCCACAACTTTTATTTTGGCAAGGGGCAATGAAAAAGTGATGACATAGTTAACTTTTCAAAATGTATATTGTATTCAACTTGAAAAAAAAAATATATAATATGTAATTACAAAAATTACGTAATGGATTATAGCATTAACTCTTCCAATCGTTTTAAACTTTTGTATATTGGCCATCGAAACCAATGTATACTTGTTGTACGCTCGTCGAAAGAGAAATTCTAAAAATGAAGCTTCGCAAAATAGATCCATCGCCGCAAGGGAACACCCATTGAAACTCTGCTCGTATTTACGCTTAAATAATCTTAATACGTAGAGTCTCGTTTTATTTTATTATTTTACAGTTCTCTCGCATCGTAATGCGTACACGGAAGACACTTGTCACGAGCCAGGGCCGATAACTTCCGTTTCTTTCTCCCATTTAAAGACTATTTCCTTGAAATTGTATGAAAGTCGATTAGAATCGACTCATATTACAATTTCACGTTCTATAATACGGTCTATAGGTGGACATTGGTATATTGTTTTTGGACAGGTGCTGAACATCGCCTTGATCGTACTCCACGTCGTTGTAGATTCCACTTTGATTCTATAAAGTGAGGAAAAGAGAAGACTTTCTTACGAGAAGATATTCAACTTGAAAATAATAATGTAAAAATAAAGCGACGACTTGCACGAATGATAGGATTAAGTGCAAGTAAAATATTATATCGTGAGAAGGCTTACGACACGTTGTTTTGTTATGCTCACCGCCAAAGACGATCTGGACTTTGGCCTGGGCACGTGGAACCCGTTGCTCTGTGGTATTAAATCGGCCCTATCCTTGTCCTGCGGTTCCGAGTCCGAACTATCCGGATCCGGTTGATGTCTTTGTCTCGGCCTTGGCGGAGCTTGAAGTCTTGGTAATGGAACCGGAGGTAACGTTCCGTGAACATTGATCGGTGGATAACCGAACATCGCAGAGCTCGGTCTTGTCGGGCCCATAGGTTCGGTCTATTTATGTGAAAATTTTTCTTATAAGATCGTTTTCGTACTTACTACACGTTTTACGATTAAACGAAAAATACTAACGGCATAGATATTCGCGGTTGCCATGTGATCGGCAAAATGTGCCAACATATAGGGTGGTAGATTAGGCGGCGGTCCTTGCTTCACCGATGCTAAAGTCCCAACCGAGCCCACTCTAGCCAACGTACCTAGATATACCATAGTCACGTCAAGTTATTTCACAAAAACTTTATACGTATAAAAGAGTGAATTTTATCAATGAAATAAATGTGAAAAGCTTTTTATCTACCAGGAAGCGTCCCAGGTATTCCACCTTGAATGTATCCATAAACGGGCGAACCGACGGACTTTTGTTCGCGCGACCATCTCCGACTACGATCGAAACCGATAAGACGAGATTAATATCAAATTTAGTTGCACGAATTATTTTTTAATCCAAGTCCATTTACCTCCACATCACGAGGCAAACCAAAGTTAAGACTATAATTATTAAGGCCGCGACAGAGGCACCTATCGCAACGCCCAAAACTTCGCCGTCGACTTCGCACTGAGTACCATAATAATTACCAGTACATCTGTAGAAAGAACAAAGCCCATAAATGCATAAGTATGTTTATGAAACAAATATAAGCATGGAAAGCTATGAGCATTTCAACTCACGCGCATTGCATCTGATCGTTTTGATAGGAACACGTCCCTCGATTGTTGCAATGAGTCGAAGGACAAGATAAGCACGATCTACCAGCTTCGTTCGAATCGTCTTTATGGGGATCTTTCAATCCTGAATTGCAAGTACAGGTAAAACCACCCCACGTGTTTGTACAAGTTGCATAAGAGTGACAATCGTTTAATTCCGAGGATGCACACTCGTCCAAGTCTAGAAACGAATAAAGGACAACAAACATTTAGGATGTTTGTTTCGTCTCTGAGAAGAAAAAAATATTCTCCTTTGTTTACGACTTTATTTAACCTTGCAAATTGGATATCGATCCGCGAGGACTGTCGACGTACAGCGCGCTATTTCCAATATTATTGTTTCTTCTATGAATGACGCCGAGAAGTTGTTTCTGCAATTCGCCAGCCAAACTAGGTCGCACCGTTCTCGGTTCATAGATGAGTTTCAAGGTTGCATTTACAAAGATTCCTCCTTGTCCTTGACTCACGTCACCTTGATATACAGAATTAACAGACGATCCCATATGCTCGTCCGAGAAAGGCGTCATAGACATCGCAGACTCGATCTGAATCGATACAAACGGATTCTCTTTTATCCGAGATAAAATGAAAGGACAAAGCATAGAATGTCTTAATGCCTTGATACGATTAAAAAAGAAAAAAAAAAGAAAAGAGAGAGAGAGAGAGAGAGAGAGAGAGAGAGAGAGAGAGAGAGAGAGAGAGAAGAAAAGAAAATACTTACGGCTCTGTTTGCTTCGAAAGCCAACGTTTGATAAGATTCGGAATCCTTGTCAGCGAGTCCACGATCCCAGACAACCTTTCTATCGTAAAATCTGTCTATCCTAATGGATACCACGATACTGACGATTTCTATAGGAAGAAGATATTAAAAATGTATAATTATCAAAATGGACCGATCGTAAGATATCAGGTTATAGAAGCATTCTCGATTACAAACTTTTACATGGGAGAGAATGTTGTAATCTCGCGTATCCTGGTTTACAGTGACACGCTGATACACCTTGAATAGTTGCACATGCCTCGTGTTGACTCGCATCGCAGGTACTACTATCGCCGACTATACAAGTGTCTATCCTAACGGGAGGCTGAGTCGGTCGTTTTGGATAATTCGGTCTTGGTGACAATAAGGCAGGACGTTGATTGATGCTCGGAGTGTCAGGTTGCGGGATCGCTAGACTAAACGTATTTAAAATGATTACATTGTATTTAATTGACAATAGACATGTCGCTTGCTAGAGAAAGAAGGCTAACCCAGTGCCGACGACATGCGGAGGCTGAGTTCTAGTTGGTTGAGGTATCACTTGCGAGGATGTAGAAGTTCGATCGGTATTATCGAACAAATTCAGATAGGTCCTTTTACCGTCGATACTTACAAACCCTTGACCTTCCACGGCAGAAGTGAGAATAACATCGGCGTTTCCTC